GCACCGTGATTTAAAAATGAGTTCATCCTAGCTCCAGGTATGCAATGTTCCAGCACCAATCTTCCACCAGTGTCAACTTCCCTCCACCAATGTCCCCAGGTTTCCTCCCAGCCCCAAGCCTGCCTCCATAACAGGCACATTTTTGGGGGATTTCTACGTTTACTTTTGCTTCCAGCAAGCTAACATGTTATTTGCCACATTCAACTGGGTGCTTAGTACATTTGAAAGTACAGCTCGTCCCAAAGATTTATTTATTTTTTTATTGTTGTGTCACACCCGGCAATACACAGGGGTTGCTCCTGGCTCATGCACTCAGGAATTACTCCTGGTGGTGCTTGGGGGGACCATATGGGATGCTGGGAATCGAACCCGAGTTGGTCTCATGCAAGGCAAACACTCTACCCGCTGTGCTATCGCTCCAGCCCCAGATTTAATGTTTTTAACAATTCTATTAAATAATTGTGGGCTGGAGCGATAGCACAGCGGGAAAGGTGGTTGCCTTGCATGCGGCCGACCTGGTTCGTTCAATTCTTCCGCCCCTCTTGGAGAGCCTGTCAAGTTATGGAGAATATCTCGCCTGCATGGCAAAGCCTGGCAAGCTACCTGTGACGTATTCGATATGCCAGAACAGTAACAAGTCTCACAATTTGTTGTGAGATGTTACTGGTGCCCGCTCGAGCAAATCGATGAACGACAGGAGGACAGTGCTACAGTGCTACAAAGTCATTGGTAGTTGAGTTTTAGACATATAATATTTCAACATCAATCCCACCACCAGTGCTCCCATATTCTCTTCCCACATCAGCTTGACAGGCACCTTGTGTAAACTCAAAAAAGGGGCACAGCACAGCGGCGGTGGCTCTATCTCTCCTGCTGCCCATGTTTGGTAGTCTCACGCCGCTTCCCCCACCCCGGGGAGGTCAATGCCAATGGGCAGGCAAGGGAAGAAATGAGGGCCAGGCTGGTTGGTCTTAGTTGCAGTTTATTCCAATCCTCTCTCTACCCACACCAGTCTCTCTTTTCTCCTCTGCCTCTGCTTCTTCCTCCCCCATGCTACTTCATTCTCCTTCTCCATCCCCCTTCATCTTCCTCTGGAGTCTGGATTCTGATTCTGATCTCCTTTCTCCTCCTTCTGATCCCCCAGCCCACTTTTACAGTACAGTTAAATCCCAAAGCATGAGGGGTTGGGGTAATAATTACACATAGGTGTGATCACAATCAATAGGGGTAGAATTCTTTCCCTCAGGGAAAGCCACTCTTAGGACAGATCCTCTCTCAGCAGGACGACCCACCCTCTAGCGGAATCCCATGGGTGTGTTTCTCCTCTCCTTGTCCGACAAGCGTATAAGCATATATAATATAAATCATTTTGTATGGATACAGTAAGAAATATCTTAAACTTATAGAATTGCCTTCCTAGGGCCATCTCGATCTCAGATTACAGTGCTCAGGCCAGATAGTCTTTCCCATCCCTAGCAGGATCCTAGTCTCGTCGTTACTTTTGGATCATGACAGCATTTGTCTATGATCAAACTCTTATAACTAAGAATCGTGGCACTTTTGCCTGGCCCATTTCGATGCCAGGGTAGCTCACCGCTTGCCCTGGGTCCATTCAGTCCCTCGTCAGGACCCTGCTTTTGGGGTGTTAGGAACTAAGGGCAACTGAGGCTTAAGTTGAGAAAGCAGATGCCCGGGAATGAATAATATTCAAAGCCAATTAAATTCTAAGTTACAAAGCATAATGTTAACGGTCCTCCTGTATCCACACAAAAGGGACATTGCTTTAAAGTAAACTGTTCAGAAGACTTAATAAGGAGAGGAGAAAGGCAATATTTCACTCATACATATAAAATCATAGATTTCTGAGGAATCTAATCTTACAAGTTAACAGAGTCTGATTAGGGGGAAAGCTGATTAACTGGTTGGGGAGGAGAGCATAGGGAAGAATTTACAGATAAACACAAGGGAATGGAAATGCCTCAAGAGCACTGTGATGGGTGTAACCAGATGAACCTAAGCTCCTTGTGGAGAAAGGACAAAGCAATGTCATCCTACAGCACCTTACAGAGTTCCAGTGGTTTCAGCTTAGATCGCAGGCTTTCAATGTTGCTGAGTCTGTGTTTCGGAGATATGGTGCCACCATTCCTCTCCACTCCCCACAACATTGCCAGTATAAAGGAAGCCCTGATGCCTGCTCACCCATTATTTCCCGTTCTCCTCTTTCCCCCTTGCTTTCTTTCCTTCTCTGTCTTCCTCTCTGAACAAGAGGGTTCAGGGTGATGTAGGCCTCCCCCTTTTACTACAAATACATTTCCTCATCCAGGTGTGTGGGGCCCAGGGCTTAGATCTCCAAGCCTGCTCGGATCGGGACTGGGCCTCCTCCACCCAGATCCCCCATCTTCCAGTATGTAGGTGTTAACACCTACCAACTGCCCCTGGCGCCATGTAATCCCATCAATGGCCAAGACCCAGAGACTATAAAACCCAGCTCCTGAAAGGGAACAGCACAGAGTCTCCTGCCCCCACACTTGGCTGTGTTCACCGGGGCCCCTTGGAGGAGGGTGGGTTGAGTTTCCCTCCCCACCCGGAGCAGATCCCCAGCAGCTGAAGACCTCCGATTCCAGCCAGTACTCTATATATCATAGATAAGTGAGATCATCAACAGGCACATTTTTAAAAAGTTTTATAATGAATTAACATGAATTACAAAGTTACAATGTTATTCATGACTGAGTTTCAGGCATACAACATTCCAACATCAATCCCATCATCAGTGCCCACTTCCCTCCATCAATGTCATTTTCCCTCCCCCCTCCCACCTGTTTCTATGGCAGGTACTTATTTTCTCCCCTGCCCTTCTTTTGAATACTATTACTGGAAATGCACATCATTTTACCTCCTTTCAGCACCCAGTCCTTGTCCAGAATGACCACTTTCCTCTATCATTGTCACAGTCGTCCCTTCCCTGACCTATACCCTCTTCTCCCTCCCCAGTGGCAAACTTCCTACTAAGAACCAATTCACAGGCACATTTTTAAGTTCGGACAAGCCTCATGCATGAAGGAACCGGCAGAGGAACCCAGGTGTGCGGGACCCAGGGCTTAGATCTCCAAGCCTGCTCAGATTGGGACTGGGCCTCCTCCACCCAGATCCCCCATCTTCCAGTAGGTAGGCGTCACACCTACCAACTGCTCCTGGCGCCGTGTAATCCCGTCAACGGCCAAGACCCAGAGACTATAAAACCCAGCTCCTGGAAGCGACATCTTATTATCTAGTTCTTACTCTGGAGAACCTGGCAGGCTACTGAAAGTATCCTGCCCACATGGCAGAGTCTGGCAAACTCCCCGTGGCGTATTCAGTATGCCAAAACCCAGTAACAATGATGGGTCTCATTCTCCTGACCCTGAAAGAGCCTCGAACATGGCACTTTTTAAAATCTCAGGGCTAGGACTAAGGAGACGTTACTGGGGCCTGCTCGAGGCAATTGATGAACAACAGGATGACAGCGATACAGTGATTGTCGTTCAGCTTCCAAGCTTACAGTACTGATGGCTTAGATACAGACATATACCACACTCTATCATGTGTCCTAGGCCCCTGACCCTAACCCCTGTGAGCTATGTACTCTATGTACTCCTCCATTTCTCACCTTATCTGGCCTTTTTATTTCTGTAGTCCAGCCCTTAGAGTTAACCCAGCTTTGCTACTTTGTGGTCGCTTATCACACTGTTCTATAGACCACAGTGAGAAGAGATCATTCAGTATTTGTCCGTCTAACATCACTTAACATCCTCCAGTTCCAGCCAACTTGTGAATTGCATGATTCCATCATTCCTGTGGCTGCACAGTATTTATTCCGCTGTGTCTATACACCACACCTTCCTTACTCATTTGTCTGTTGATGGACACCTGCGTTGGTTCCAGAGGGCTGTAGGATTAAGCGTTGTAAAAAGCAGTGGTGTGCCTATGTCCTTTTGAATCAAAGTTTATGTCTCCCGAGGAGTATATACCAGTGAGTGGAAATATGTTTTTGCCCTTTCTCTTGTGTTTGTGTTTGGACCACAATCCTGTGGTGCTCAGGGGTGTGGGGATTGAACCCCAGTAGACCTGAGCGAGGCAAGCACCCTGCCCACTGTACTATGCCTCTAGTTCCTGTGCTCTTGTTTTCTTTTCTTTTCTTTTTTTTTAATTTTTATTAATGAAACCCCATGAGATACAGTTGTAGACTTACAAATTTTGGGGCTTGGGATTCAGTTATACAATGATTGAACACCCATCCCTCCACCAGTGCCCATTCTCTCTACCGACAATGATCCCAGTATCACCCCCACCCCCCATAACCCCATCCCCCCTGCCTCTGTCTGTGGTAGGGCATTCCTTTTTGTTCTCTCTCTCCTTTTGGGTGCTGTGGTTTGCAAAAGAGGCATTGAGTGGCAATCATGTTCGGTCTATAGTCTACTTTCAGCATGCATCTCCCATCCTGGGAGGATCCTCCCAACACCCTTTACTTGGTGCTCCCTTCTCTATCTGAGCTGCCTTTTCCCCTAGCGTGTGTGGCTGGCCTCCAAGCCATGGAGTGAACCTCCTGGTACTTATCTCGGCTATTCTTGGGTGTTAGTCTAGTCTCCTATTTTGTTACTTTATGTCCCCCAGATGAATGCAATCTTTCTATGTCTGTCCCTCTCTTTCTGATTCATTTCACTTAGCATGCTTAACCCAAGAGAATCCATCTAAGTTTTCTTTCTTTCTGAACAGCATACCTTTTGATTACTTGCTGACCCCTTTCATAGGGAAAGAGATACTTCTTGCTCAAGATGCCTAAGAGCTGGAGGTGGTTCTGGGTCGGGAATGGTCCAATTGCTAGTTTCCACACTGTGGAGTGCCACTCTACAAGTTACTAAATATCTGGAGAGGAAGTGGTAAAAAAAAAATGTGAATAAAAGGCTTGTCTCAGGCAACAACCCCAAATTAATTAATTCAGAATCAACCTAAAATCCGGGATGTTTCTGGTAGCGCCTCACCCCCACCCCCGCCCCCACCCACCCCCGGCTGCGTTTCCGGGGTGTCTGACTCAGCGCGAGAGCTACTGCGTGTAGAGTGAGTGCAGAATTCCACAAACCTTTGCAAAGAACGAGCAATCAAACACACAGGGGGTGGAAAACGCAGCGGGTAGAGGTAAGAAGCTTTCTGGGCGCCCTGGCCCTAGAAGCTGGGCGACCCCTTCTGTGGGGTTTAGCCTGGGCACGCAGTGGCCAAGACACCTCCAGGGTTGGGTCTCAAAACTGGGGAAGTAAAGCTGGGGGTGGGGGGCGGGGAGTCCAAGAAAGTGCTCCCCTGCCCCCTGCCCTGGCTCTAGAGAGCAGACCCGGAGCGCTCAGGCCTTGGAGGTTGCGGCCTGGGTCCCTCCCCTTCCCCACCGCGGCCACCAGCAGGGCCCACCAGCCTGACCCCTGACGCATTCCATCTGCTCCCTCCAAGGTCGGGGAAGAGCGGCCGGACGCGCACGACCACCGCCCCCGCCCTCCGCCCTCCGTAGGCGTCCTGCGACCCGCGGCGCCCCTGCAGGGAAAGTGCCCAGGGATGGGGGCGTGTCCGGGTCAGCGGACCAGACACGTCGTCCGCGCGCGTCCGCTGAACGTCACCGCGCGTCGCCCCGGCGCTCTGCGGAGTAGAGCGACCCCCGCCTTTGCAGCCTGGGGCGTGCTCGGGTTCGGAGATTCTGGGCGGGGGGTCTCCAGCACCCCAGCAGTCCTGCGGGAGGCTGTGCCTGGATAACCCCGTATCCCAGCCTCTGCCCTCTTTTTTTTTTTTTTTTCTCCCTCCACCGGTCCCCCCCCCCCCCCCCCCCCCCCCCCCCCCCCCCGGCGGCTGTCCGGAGCACCGAGGTGAGAGCGCTGGGGATGAGTTTAGATAAGAGTTGGCACGGCGAGACTGGTGGCTGGGCCTGGTGTATGTGGCTTTCATCTTCCCCGGGGGGGTCAGGAAGCCGGCTTTGGTGCGGATCAAATGCTCAGAGCAATCTCAGCGGCCTCTCCAGAGATGGGGCTTGGTGGGGCTTAGGGTCCTAGCCACTGTGCAGGCAGGGATGTGGCTCAGAAAGCTGGAGCCCAAGGCTGAGTGCAGGGGAGGTGTGTGGGGAGGGGTTGGGTGGGAGTGGGGTGGGGTGGGAAACCCCCGCAATCCTGACACCGTACCTCCCTCCAGTGGAGAGTGAACAGTGGTCCCTGGAGCTGGGGGTGGTGGGGTGCACTTTTTGACGTTCCCTTTCTCTACGTCTCCCCCAAGAATCAGCACCCCCAAGCCCCCTAAGAATCCCATTATACCAGGATCACCAGGGTTTGGAAGCCGGCCTCATGTGCTGGAGGAAAAGGGACCACTAAGTCAATGAGGGTTGGAGGGGTCACTAAGGTAAGGTCAAGGCCCTCCCGTCGATCGTCGATTTGCTCGAGCGGGCCCAGTAACGTCTCCATTGGAGACTTTGTTGTTACTGTGTCTGGCATATCGAATACTCTCGGTAGCTTGCCGGGCTCTCCGAGAGGGGCAGAGGAATCGAACTCGGGTCGGCCATGTTGGCCGCTTGTAAGGCGAACGCCCTACCCGCTGTGCTATCGCTGAAAGTAGATAAAGGACCAAACATGATGGCGTCTCAATGTCTGTAGTGCAAACCATGACGCCCAAAAGTAGAGAGAGAGTAAGAAGGAAGGTACCTGCCACAGAAGCAGGGGATGGGGTGGGGTGGGGGTGGTGGGAAGGATACTGGGGATATTGGTGGTGGAAAATGTGCACTGGTGGAGGGATGAGTGTTCCGATCATTATATAACTGAAACTCAATCATGAAAGTTTTGTAACTGTATCTAACAGTGATTCAGTAAAAATAAAATTATAAAGAAACAAACAAACAGAAAGAATCCCACCCTACCTTCACAGCTCACCTCATCTCTCCACCCACTCCTCCTACCCGGCTCCAGGATCTCTCTCTGTGCTAAGTGAAATGAAAAAGAAGTTAAAGATGAGGAAATGGAATACAGTAAAGGGGGAACAGGGGTTGGGGCTTTGATTGTAACGGAGAGTGGCATAGCTAGTATATTCAAAAGAGACTCAACCGTACTGAAAACATGAAATTTAAGCTGCAGCCACTGAATTTTGTAATGTCAAGGAGGCAGGTGGGGGTGTGGGCCGGAAGTGGTGGTTGGGGGGGACTGAGTATGGGGACCCGGGTGAAGGGAAGTTGACACTGGTGGTGAGATTGGTGTTGAAATAGGATATGCCTCAAACTCAACTATTAATAACTTCGTAAATCACGGTTCCTTAAGTAAATAAAAATTATAGTTTAAAAACGTTAAGGGTCAGAGAGAGAGAGAGAGAGAATGCAGCTGGTCAGGTGCTTGCCTTGCACATTGGCTGACTTGGGTTCAATTTCTAGCACCCTATATGGTCCCCTGAGCCACCAGGAGTGGTCCCTGAGTGCAGAGCAGGATCAAGTTCTGAGCACCCAGCACCCAAAAGGAGAGAGAGAACAAAAGGGAATGCCCTGCCACAGAGGCAAGGTGGGATGGGGAGGGGATGGGGGGTGGGAGGGATACTGGGATCGGTGGTGGTGGAGAATGGGCACTGGTGGAGGGATGGGTACTCGATCATTGTATAACGGAAACCCAAGCCCAAAAATTTGTAAGTCTACAACTGTACCTCATGGTGTCTCACTAATAAAAATTAAAATAAATTAAAAATAAGAGTTCTGAGCACCACTGGCTGTGGACACACAGTCCCCCCTCCCCCGAAAAAAAAAATCATAAGATGAAAAAGAAAAGAAGTTAAAATTGGGTCAGCGAACAGGGTAAAAGAAGCCAGGGGAGAGTCCATGGGTCAACGGTGTTTCCCTTGTGTACCTCACTTCCCTTGGTACCCACTTTCCTGCGTACCCCACTTCCCTTCCATACCCCTGATTCCTGCACCTGGCACCACATGTGGTTCCCCCAAGCACCACCAGACATTCTCAAGTGCAGAGCCAGGAGTAGCCCCTGCACACCCAGTCTATGGCAAAACAACAAAAAAGAATGGGAAAATAACACTGGGGTCCTTTAGGATGCAAGCTTTCCCCGAGGGAAAACCAACTCAAGTGGCGACCCACGTATTAGTCATAGATGAGTAGGAGGGAGAGTCGGGGGCTGGCAGAGAGCTTTAAGCAGAAAGAACTTGTAGAAGCAGCTCCTGGGTGTTCAGACAGGCCAAGGATGTGGACAGTGCGGGGAGGGGAGAAGAGGGGAGGGGAAGAAGTCTTAAAGGAAGGGGCAGAGAACTCGGGGTGGGGGCGGGGGTGGCGTGGGGTGGAGGGATCCCCCAAGGATCTCCTGCATGCCTGTGACATGGAGAGTGTTTAATCACTTTCATCTTTTCACAGATGTCCGTCCTCCCCCAGAGGGAACCCGAGGCCCCTGTCCCCTGTTCGGGTACCCAGACCCTGGATGGTGGCATCAGCGTTGTGGACGGGACACACCCAGGAAGGCCCGCGGAACCGCTGGCAGAGCTGTGTGGAGAGGATGCTTCCTCTGCCGTGTCCTCCTCTCCCAGCTCACCGCTGTCCTCCCGGGGAAGGACCATCAAGTGGTTCTGGGACTCGGCCGAGGAGGGCTACAGGACCTACCACATGGACGAGTATGATGAGGAGAAGAACCCTGGGGTGAGCGGAGCTCCTCTCCCCGCTGGGACTCGAGACTTGGGCCTTTATTTAGGGTCCCCTCTCTGCACCAGGCAGGCCGCCCCCAGACTGCACTTGCCAGGTTGGTGGAGAGGCCTCTGGCCTCCAGGGGCGGCTTCTGAAGGCCTCCGATTTATTGCGTGGATGAAAAAATGGCCCATGCATAATGGATTTGGGGGTGGAGGCAGCCCTGTGGTGGGTGCTCAGGGCTTATTCTTGGCTCTGCACTCAAGGATCACTCCTGACAAGCTGGGATGGGGTGCACCCTATGAGGTACTGGGGAGCAAACCCAGGTTGGCCTCATGCAAGGCAAGTGCCCTCCCTGTTGTGCTGTGTTGCTCGGGCCCCACTTTGAAAGGGGTTTTATCCCGCAAACATGGAGAACTGTGCTGAGCTTCTAGCGAGGTGCCTTAGAGTATCAGGCAGGCAGTCAACTTTTTTGGGGGGGCGGGGTCACACCTGACGTTGCACAGGGGTTACTTCTGGCTCATGCACTCAGGAATTACTTCTAGCAGTGCTCAGGGGATCATATGGGATGCTGAGAATCGAACCCAGGTTTGCCACGTGCAAGGCCCTATCTGCTGTGCTATTGCTCCAGTCCCAGCAGTCAGCTTTCAGTGGGTGGAGAAAGTGCATGGTCTGGGGTGGGGAGTGGGGGTATGACCAGAGCTCTCCAAGGAAATGGATACAGAGCTTCAGAAGAAGAGACTCCTAAAGGCAGCTCAGATAGAGAAGGGAGCACCAAATAAAGGGTGCTGGGAAGATCCACCCAGGATGGGAGATGCATGCTGAAAGTAGACTATAGACTGAACATGATTGCCACTCAATGCCTCTTTTGCAAACCACAGCACCCAAAAGGAGAGAGAGAACAAAAGGGAATGCCCTGCCACAGAGGCAGGGTGGGTTGGGGGATGGGGGGGGGTGGGAGGGATACTGGAATTGGTGGGGGTGGAGAATGGGCACTGGTGGTGGGATGGGTACTTGATTATTGTATAACTGAAACACAAGCACAACAACTTGTAAGTCTACAACTGTACCTCATGGTGTTTCACAAATTAAAAAAAAAAAGAGAACCCTTCTGGCTGAAGTTTTAGGGGAGCCTTCCTGGAGGAAGTGGCATCTGAACAGAGGTTTAGAAATGGGAAGACGGGACTGAGTTGAGGGCGGGGCAGGACTGCAACGAGCACCTGCTTGACATTGCATCTGTGCCTCCCTCCCCTACCCCGAGCATCTCTCTTTGGCACCCTCTGCCAGGCTCACCCTGCCTTTGTACCTCTTGTCTCCAGGGCATCATTAACTTGGGTACCAGTGAGAACAAACTCTGCTTTGACCTGCTGTCCAGACGGGTGAGTCCTGGGGGCACCTCTGGGGGCGAGGGGGGCCATCTTTAGCTCTGAGGGGTGGGCTTCTCCTGGTCTGGTCTGACCACAGAAGCCAGTTGCCCACCTCAGCTGCCCGTGACCTGGGTGGGAGTCAGAAGGGGCCAGTTGCCGAGTTGCCATGGAGACAACTTTCTGCCTCTTGGGGTAGGGAGGGGGCAGGTAATAGCCCGGACCAGGCTCCTTCCTCTCACGCATTTCCCCTCCTGCTGGCTCTCAGATCTGAGGAGAGTTGTCTCAGGGAGTGGGGGTGGGTTAGTGTTTCACAGCTTCCCCCAAGAGAGAATCTCTGCTCTGGAGCTTTGGCCGATTTTCAGAGTGTAAATGTTTCCACTACAGCTGATTCCAAGCTTCACTTAGCTCAGAAGCACACCTGTGGCCCCCACACAGACAGACGGGACCTGTGGAAGAACAGTCTGCTCCAGTGAGATCCCAGTAAAAGGCTGTAATAGAAGCAGATGCAATGATGCTTGGATATTTTCTCTTTTATTGAATTTTTTTTTTTTTTTTTTGCTTTTTGGGTCACACCTGGCGATACACAGGGGTTACTCCGGGCTCTGCACTCAGGAGTTACTCCTGGCGGTGTTCAGGGGACCATATGGGATGCTAGGACTCGAACCCGGGTTGGCCGCATGCAAGGCAAACGCCCTACCCGCTGTGCTATCTCTCCAGCCCCGTTGAATTTTTTTTTTTTAATTTGGGGACCACACCCAGCAACGCTCAGGGATTACTTCTGGCTCTGCACTCAGGGATCACTCCTGGTGGTGCTCAGGGGATCATGTGGGATGCTGGGGCTTGAACCAGGTCAGCCATGTGCAGGACCTTACCTGTTGTACGATTGTACTGTTGCTCTGGGCTGACTGTTTCTTTAGTTGTAATAGTTCACTGAGGTTCTTTATTTATTTTTTGTTTGAGGGACACACCTGGTGGTGCTCAGGGCTTGCTCCTGGCATATGCTAAGGGATAACTCTTGGTGGGCTCAGGGGATCATATGGAGTGCCAGGGATTGAACCCGGGTTGACTATGTACTATGCAAGCAGCTTACCTGCTGTGTGATCTCTCTGGCCCATATTTAGATTATTTATATTTAATTTATATCATTTTTTTGGTATTTGGACCATACCTGGCATACCCAGGGGCACATATCCCTGACTCTGTGCTCATGGGTCACTCCTGGCAGGGACTGGGGGACCATGAGTTTGGTCAGGGATCAATCCTAGATGGACCATGTTCAAGGCAAGTGCCTTCACTCACTCTACTATTTCTCCAGCTATATATTATCAAAATTTAAACTTTATACGTGTGTGTTTTACGCTGTTTGTGACATCCCTGATGGTACCTAGGGACTATACCTGGCTCCGTGCTCAGGACTGACCCCTGAAAATACTCTGTGACCATATGTGGTGTTGGAGATTCCAGCTGGGGTCATTGTGAGATGCAAGACAACCGCAATATCCCCTAAAACTATCTCTCTAGCCCCTAATTTTTTTTAATTTTTAAATTTTTATTAGTGAGACACCATGAGGTACAGTTGTAGACTTACAAATTTTTGTGCTTGGGTTTCAATTATACAATGATCAAATACCCATCCCTCCACCAGTGCCCATTTCCCACCACCACGGGTCCCAGTATCCCTCCCACCCCCCATGTCCCCCATCCCACCATGCCTCTGTGGCAGGGCATTCCCTTTTGCTCTCTCTCTCCTTTTGTCTAGCCCCTAATTTTTCAACTTTTAAACCAGTGGGCAAAATTCCCAAGCATTTAATAGATTTCCCGAGCTGGTGCGAGGCCTTCCTAGCACCCCCTGGAAATATTTGATCCATTTCATTTTCATTTTCATTTCATCATCCTGTTATTCGTCGATTGCCTCGAGCAGGCCCCAGTAACGTCTCTTTCATCCTAGCCCTGAGATTATATTCACGGCTCTTTAGGAGAATGAGACCCATCATTGTTACTGGTATTTGGCATATTGGGTACGCCACGGGGAGTTTGCCAGACTCTGCCCTGTGGGCAGGCTACATTCGATAGCCTGCAAGTTTGTCAAAAGTAGGAATGAGATAATAAGATGTCATGAAAAAAGAACTTTTTTCATGACATCTTCATTTGATCCATGAGCCTCCTAAAGTCTGGCGAGAGCTGGGGATGGCAGGGTGCGAGGTCTCATCTAGGGGAACTGGTTTCCAGGGGCCAGAGTGATAGTACAGTGGGTTAAGCACTTGTCTTGCAGGTGGCTGACCCATGTTCAATCCCCAGTACCCCTCCGGTCCCCTGAATCCCCCTGAGTGATCCCTGAGTTCAGAGACAGGAGTAAACCCTGAGCAGCACTGGGTGTGCCCCCACCCCCCAAAAGAAGGAACTGGTTTCCAGGGAGCGAATAGCCAAGCCTCAAAGGGACGTGGTCATGGGGAACAGACTTGAAAGGCCTCCCAGGTAGCCAGTGCCTCTTCCTTTCTCTAAGGATATTCATCCTGTTCATCAGACATGGCATGTGAGGGGCTGGAGTAAACCCTGTGCAGTGCCAGGTGTGACCACCCCCCCTCCAAATAAAAAGAAAAAAAGAGAAAGAAATGGCATGTGAGGGGCTGGAGACATTGGACAGGGCTTAAGTCACTTGCCGTGCATCCCGCTGACCTCGACTTGAGTCCCTGGAATCTCATAGGATGCCCTGCCAGGGGTCACTCCTGAGCACCGTGGCACAACTCAGAAATAATAATGAGCTTCAGTGACCGTGTCGTGTGGGAGCACAGGATCCGGAGTCCACATGCCATGTTTGGTCTCAGTGCTTCCTCTTACTAGCTTTGTGAGCTTACCGGATCCCCTTCTTTGTGTGTGTGTGTGTGGGGAAACCTCAGTTTTCTGTTCTGTAACATGGGCATGAGAGTGTCACCCTGTGTTCCTATCTCCCCGTTGCTGAGGAGCAGACCAGACGCTGGATCTTAGAGTCCCTGATGCCGTGGCATTGTGTGTGTGTGTTGGGGGGGGGGCAGTGCCTGCCATCCTTACCATCCCAATGGCTGTGGGGTGCATGCAGGCTCAGCCCGCCCCCCCGTCTCTGTCCCCAGCTGACTCAGAGCGACATGCTGCAGGTGGAGCCATCCCTGCTGCAGTACCCCGACTGGCGGGGGCATCTCTTGTAAGTAGCTGCCATGGGCCAGTTCTCCACCTTTGGGGTCATCATAGAGGCAGGAGGGGGCTGTGAAACTCATTAGGTGGAGGTGGGGGTACCGCTGAACCTCCCATAGGGCCTGGGATAGCTCCCCACGACAAAGCAGGACCAGATGTGGAGAGTGGCTTTTCTTCTTGTTCTTCTTGCCCTCCTCCTCCTCCTCCTCCTCCTCCTCCTCCTCCTCTTCTTCCTCCTCTTTCTCCTCCTCCACCTCCTTCTCCTCCTCCTCCTCCTCCTCTTTTTTCTTCTCCTCCTCTTTCTCTTCCTCCTCCTCTTCCTCCTCCTCTTTCTCCTTCTCCTCTTTCTTCTCCTCTTTCTCCTCCTCCTCCTCTTCTTTCTTCTCCTCCTCCTACTCCTACTCTTTCTCCTCCTCCTCCTCCTCCTCCTTCTTCTTCTTCCTCTTCTTCTTCTTCCTCCTCCTCTTCCCCTTCCTGATCCCCCTTCTTCCTCTTCCCTCTCCTCCCTCTCCTCCTCTTCCTTCTCCTTCTTTTCCCCATCTCCCCTTCTTCCCTCCTCCTCCTCCACACTCGGCAATTTTTAGGGATCACTCCTGGCTCTGCACTCAGGAATCACTCCTGACAGTGCTCAGGGAACCCTATGATTGCCAGGGATCAAACCAGGGTCAACTGCATGCAAAGCAAATGCCCTACCTGCTATACTATCACTCAGGTCTCCAATGAGAGGTAACTTGAAAGGAGCTAAAAGCAATTGGTGAAGCAATTGGTGGGGCCTCCCCTTCCTGATACTAGGGGATGGTGGGAGGTGGTGGATGGGAGGGAGGAAAGTGTGGGCTCAGTGAGCACTTCCTGGGCTGGACACTGCCCCAAGGTTGAGTGGCTGAGCTGCATTCCAAAGCACTGATCTTGTAATATATAGGAAGTTGGCCCTAGCGTGAGACCCCTGGGTTCCACGATACTTACTAGCAAGTTCTTATGTCCTCCACACCTCAGTTTCTTGGTCTGTAAATTGGAATTCCTGGGAATAGTGGCATCAGCAATGGCATCACAGCAGTGGGTGATCGAGTGAGTGAAATGCAATAGCTGGCCTGTGCCCAGTATATATTAGCCACGGTCACTGGCTATCATCATTGCTATAACAATAACCGTTCACTGCTATCACTGTGTGCCCCTGGAGTGTTCGACTTTGGACATTCCTGAGTGGATGGACAACTGGTTGACCTGGAAGGAAAGAGGGTGAAGGTTTGGGTGGGTGGACGTAGGGGGCGGCTTGGGGTGAGAGGGTCCAGCAGCAGATCCTGACCACATAGCCCTCAGGGAGGCCAAGTACTGGACTGGTGGTCGACTGACGCCTCCCCAGAAGTAACTGTGGGCTGAGGCCTCTCTGACCAGCTCTGTCTGTGTATCTGACTGTCTGACCTGTAGCCTCCGGGAGGAAGTGGCCAGGTTCCTGTCTTTCTACTGCAAGAGCCCAAAGCCTCTTAAAGCGGAGAACGTGAGTAGCACCCCCTCTGCAGGGCCCCCCTCTCACGCCCCTTCTCCTAGTGTTTGCCTGGCCTGCATGGGCTCGGGATCAACCGTCCAGCACTGGGCATCTGTGTAAACACAAAAGGACAGCAGCGGTCTATCTCTCCCACCACCCGCATTCGATAGTCTCAAGACGCTTCCCCCACTCCAGGGAGGTTGATGGCGATGGGCAGGCGAAGGAAGGGTGGAGGTAGGGGGCCAGGATGGTTGGTGTCAGTTGCAGTTTATTCCATTCCCATCTTCATTCTCCTCTAACTCTCCTCCTGCTTCTTCCTCCCCCATGCTACTTCATTCTCCTCAATCCCCCTTCATCCTCCTTCTGGCTCTGGAATCTGGATCCCCTTTCTCCTTCTCCTTCTGGAGTCTGGATCCTCATCCCCCAGCCCACTCTTACAGTCTAGTTAAATCCCAAAGCCAAGAAGGGTTGGGGTAACAATTACACATAGGTGTGGTCACAATCAGTAGGGGCAAAGTTCTTTCCCTCGGGGAAAGCTGCTTCTTGGACAGATACTCTCTCAGCTGGATGACCCACCCTAGAACGGAATCCCCTGGGTGCGTTTCTCCTCTCCTTGTCCAACAAACATATAAGCACATATTATATAAATCATTTTGTATGGATATAGTAAGAAATACTTCAAACTTATAGAATTGCTCTCCTAGGGCCATCTTGATCTCAGAATACAGTGCTCAGGCCAGATATTCTTTCCTATCCCTAGCAGCAGGGTCCTAGTCTCATCGTTACTTTTGGATCATGACAGCATTTGTCTGTGACCAAGCTTTTTAACTTAGAGTTAAGAATCGCGGCAATTTGGCCTGGCCCATTTCAGTGCCAGGGTAGCTCACAGCTTGCCCTGGGTCCATTCAGTCCCTCGTCGGGACCCTGCTTTTAGGGTGCTAGGAACTAAGGGCAACTGAGGCTTAAGTCGAGAAAGCACATGGCCAGGAGTGAATAATATTCAAAGCCAATTAAATCCTAAGTTACAAAGCATAATATTAACGGTCTTCCTGTATCTATACAAAAAGGACACTGCATTAAACGATTCAAAAGACATAAGGAGAGAGAAAGACAAAATTAACTTACAGTACAATTTCAGTGTCCTAGAAGGATCTGACCTTACAAATTAACAGAGTCCGATTAGGGGGAAAAGCTGATTAACTGGTTGGGGAAGAGAGCAGAGAGAAGTGGTTACAGATAAAGAAAGGAATGGGAGTGACTCAGGAGCACTGTGATGGGTGTAACCTGATAAACCTAAGCCCCTTGTGGCAAGGGAGAAAGGACAAATCAATTGTTATCCTACAGGCATGATCCATTTCAAAGTGAACCGGGCACCACAGCTTTCTTCCGGCCCCTCCACCCTAGTTATGCAGAGCTGGGGGCTATTTCCTCCTCTCTGTTCTATGGTCCCTCTGTCCCCCCCGCCCCAACCAGTTGGGGCAGGAATTCTGGAGTGACAGTACCTTTCCTCCCTGCAACAGTGCCCGCTATGCAGGAGCTTGGCCAGTAGTAGGGAGAGGTGTGGGGACCTCTAGTGGCTTTGCAGGGACAGAGGCACCCGCTCGGCTCGTGTCCTGCAGCTTGTGGCCCAGAAAGAGGTCACAGGTGGACAGACAGAGGCCACGGGATGGGACAGAGAGTCCAGAGACTCTGTCTCTCTCTCTCTCTCTGGGGCAAGCTCATCTGCAGCCTCATGTGTCCCTCAGGTGGTGGTTCTGAATGGCTGTGCGTCTCTCTTCTCTGCCCTGGCCACGGTGCTGTGTGAAGTGGGGGGTAAGTGCCCAGTGCCCTGACCTTGGGTCCTAGTGGACTTTTCTGCTTGGGCCCCACTCAGCCTGCCCCAGTGATGCTGGGCCCTCTGGGCAGTGCCCAGATGAGCTTGAGGGACCATGTGATGCCCGGACTCTCACCCCAATTACTGACCTCTCTCCCAGCCCCTTCCAGCATCTCTGAATTCCATTCCCATGACCTGGACTCGAGTCACTACTCCAAGCCATGTCCCGGGTGGTGCCGTGTGTCGGTGTGGTGGTGGTCGAACCCAGGTCATCATCACCCTGACCTTCCTCATCGTCACTCTGGTTCTCCATGTGTCCTTGGAGGGCTTCAGACGGGGTCCTCAGTAAAGTTAGGGGTGCTGGAGCTTATTTCCAGCGTGACGCTGAGAGTCAGAGGAGGGAAAATGCAGGTGGCTGTTTAGGGCGGTTCCCAGGGATGACAAGGCTCAATGAAGGGAGTTGTTAGAAAGGAGAGCAGGGCTGGAGTGATAGCACAGCGGGTAGGGCATTTGCTGGGTTCGATTCTCAGCATCCCATATGGTCCCCCCAAGCACCGCCAGGAGTAATTCCTGAGTGCAGAGCCAGGAGTAAAGTAATCCCTATGCATCACCGGATGTGACCCAAAAGCAAAAAAAAAAAAAAAAAAAAGGAAAGAAAGAAAGAAAAAAGAAAAGACAGCAGTGGTCTAAGCTGGGTGCTGAGCAGCGCACGTGCCCTGAGCATGCCCTCCAGGATGCTGGGACTGGTGGGCAGGGGTCTGGGCCTTCCGGACGGAGGGGGACAGGCCAGCTTCCTTTCTCTCCCCAGACGCCTTCCTCATCCCGGCCCCTTACTACGGGGCCATCACGCAGCATGTCTCTCTCTACGGCCAAGTCCGGCTGGTCTGTGTCTACCTGGACAGCCAGGTAAGAGCTCCTGGGCCCCTTCTCCTGCTTCTTGAAGGTGATGGGGGATGTGCCAAGGGTGGCCCCAGGGAGTTGCTAGACTGACGGGGTGAGGATGGGGCCTTTTCCTAAAATCGAGAACTGACGGGGCTTCCCTGTGTGATGGAGTTGGGGTGACAAGGGAGATGGGGGAGGGGACTCAGGTGTGTTTCCAGAAACAGGAGATGTCAAGAGTGGGGAGGACCCTAGAGGGTGGGTTTGGGGGGAGTCTCTAAACTTGACTGTGGGGGCTGCGGTGGGGGTGTTGGGGGTATTTTCCAGGGCACCGGGCCAGACACTCGTCCCTTCCAGCTCACGGTGGAGAAACTGGAGAGGGCCCTGCTCGGAGCCCAAGCCGAGGTAAGGGGCTGTGGGGAGAGTCTGTGCATGGGTTGCCCCTTCTTCCGGTGCCTGTTCTCCCCCTCACCCCCAGGAAGAGAGCTGGCCCTTGGGAATGGGGCGCAGGGTAGGGTGGACTCACAGGAATGTTCTGGAATCAACAAATGGATGCGGTGCCCACACTTAGCCCCTGGAGGAGGTTTTTCCTGCTGAAGGGGGACCTCACAGTCCAGAGGATCACCAGGAGCTTGATTAAAAATCCCGACCTAGAGGTGGGGGAGATTAAATTTTAAATTGGGGTTTCAATCATGGTTCAATCCCTAGCACCGCATATGGTTCAATCCCTGAGCACTGCCAAGAGAGGTCCCTGAGCACAGAGTCAGGAGTAAGTCCTGAACACTGCTGGGTATGACACCCCCCCCAACACCCCATTCCCTCCCATAAAAAAGGATGAGACCAATGGTTCTCTATTTTCCCCAAAATCCCCAATCCAGAACTTTCTCACATTAAACTGTATGTGTCTAATACACAAAAGGTGTGTGTGTGTGTGTGTGTGTGTGTGTGTGTGTGAGAGAGAGAGAGAGAGAGAGAGAGAGAGAGAGAGAGAGAGAGAGAGAGTGTGTTGGTTCTCCCAGGGAGCCAGGGGTCCACTCCTGGCCATTCTTAGCCGAGTGGATTGGATGGTTCACTGCGGGGGTCACAAAATGAGGTGCTGCTTGGGCTGAGAATAACCCTCCAGGGTCAGTCCCGGTGCGGTGACCTACCCAGGCTCAGAGAACTCAGAGAAGGCTCAGGGTGCCTTTCCCCCTGCGCTTTCTCTCCAGCCCTGGTGGTGGGAATTCTAAGTCCTAGTGTGTGTGTGTGTGTGTGTGTGTGTGTGTTTTGAAGTATGAACCCCGTACCCTCAACTCTGCCAACAAAGCAGCGCCTGCGGGCCCCAGACACCAATGGCTTCACTAGTTGACACCACCGCTGTGGTAGGGGCGGCATGTTGGGTCGTGAGGGGTCCCCAGCCCTGTCTCCTGTCAGGGGGAACTGAGGGCATCCTGTACTTCTGACCATTTCAGGGTGTGAGGGTCAGAGGCCTCATCCTCATCCACCCCCAGAACCCCCTGGGTGATGTCTACACCCCGGAAGAACTGTGTGAGTTCCTGGAATTTGCTAAGAGGTAAGAGATACCCTCTCCTTCACATACACACCCCACACCCCCACACACACCTCACACACACCCCACACAGTGCCTAGACACATCATGGCCTGTGGTTTTGGGGGCTATGTGTCCACTCTCTCTCCTCTCCACTGTGTGTCCCTGGCTATGACCTGTCCAGCCAGTGTGGGACATTGGCCTTAGGGGATGGAAGGAGGGGGGTGGGCAGCTGTCTCATTTCCTGTGCCTCTTGGGACCCCGGCCCACTGTCCAGTGCTCAGCCTTTGGGCAGGCTTCCAGGAACTAAGTCCTGTCCATCTCCCCAGTTCCCCCGGCCCTGAGGGCTGGGCTCCAGCTTGAATCTGGGTCTGCAGGACTTAACTGAGCCCCTCTGTGAAGGAGCCCCCCCCCCCGCAACCGGCACCCCAAGACACCCCCCTCCCCACGAGGCAGTGCTTCAAAAGCTTCGTGGCTGTCCATTTCCAATGAGCCGCTTCCTGTTTGTGTGGAAAAATAGACCCCAGAAGAGGGTTCCTGGAAAGTTTAGTAATCCGGCTTGGCCAGGCTCCCACGGGATTTCTGACCCCTCTGCTCACCGCCTGGGGGACGCAGCTGTCCAAGCCGCTCCCCTCCTCGTGCTCTCCTCCCCGTGCTCCCCTCCCCGTGCTCCCCCAGGCACGCGCTGCACGTGATGGTGGACGAGGTCTACATGCTGTCCGTGTTCCAGCAGGCACGGGCCTACCGCAGTGTCCTGAGCCTGGAAAGGTGAGGCCATCCCGACCCCCTGCCCACGGCACGCCACCTAAGCAGCCCCCCACTCCCCCGCCCGCCCCGTGGGCTGGCAGGCTGTGGCCTGGCCTCAGGCTACTAGCCTCAGAACGCCTGGTGAGAGGACAGCAGGCCTGGGCCCAGCAGGGGTTTCCACAGTGCTCTGTAGAGGGCCCTGGGGGTTCCATGAGCAAGGGCAGGGGTGGGTGGGGAGGGGGGAGGCGGCTGCTGGGCTGCTCTCCTCATCTGGATAGCCCAGGTTTCATCCTTGTGTCCATTCACTCAGTCACTCCATCACTCATTTACCCACTCATTCACTCATTCATTCACTCATTCATTCATGCATTCACTCATTCACTCTTTCACTCATTGATTCACTTAGTCACTCATTCATGCCATGATTCATTCACTCTCGGTCACTCATGCATTCATTCGCTAATTCATTCATGCATTCACTCACTCATTCACACAGTTGTTCATTCACTCAGTCACACATTCATTCATTCATTCATTCATGCATGCATTTACTCCTCATTCACAGTCATTCACTCACTCATTTACTTATACATTAATTGTGATTCATTCATTCACTCGCTAATTCACTCCTTCCTTCATTCACTTATTTACTCACTCCCTCCTTCACTCTTTCCTTTAGTCATACACTCATTTACTCATTCACTCATTTATTTGCTCAATCGTTCACTCGCTTACTCATTCTCTAACACATCCACTCATCCATTCACTCACTCGTTTATATAGTCACTCATTCATTCACTCATTTACTTATTGATTGTCCACTCATCCCCCCTGTTATTCATTCGCTCTCTCATTTTCATTCATTTACTATTTTTTTTGTTTGTTTGAGGGCCACCCCTGGTGACGCTCAGGTTACTCCTGGCTCTGTACTCAGGAATCACTCCTGGTACCGCTCAGGGACTGTATGCAATGCTGGGTATTGAACCTGGGTCAGCCACATGCAAGCAAACACCCTACCCACGGTACTGTCTCTCTGGCCCCAAATCACTTGTTTACTCTTGATTTGCCCTCTCATTCACACATTTACTTATCTACACATTTATTCATTCGGTCAAATCTTCTGAAACCTCTCGCATGTGCCGAGCACCCTAGTGATTAAAATAATGGGTGCTGTCATTACTATGAGTCAAGAATTTGTGGACAGAAAGCCTTTGGGAACACTTGGGCCAACTTCCTACGTAGAGCCTGTGGGTGTGATGTTCCAAGGCGGTCAGTTCCTGACATTTGGTCAGCTCTCTCCACCCTGCTCACTCCTTTCCCTGCTCCCCTCAACCCGCCTTCATCTACACCCTCACTTTCTGGCTGGGGGCTGTGTGACTCAGAGGAAGTGGTGGCTCGTGGCCTGCTCCACGCTGGGGTATGACAGGGAACAGGACACAGGCCCTTCGTTGGAAGAATCACCAGGCCGAATACTTGTCAGCCGCTTACAACACAGCCAGCCAGTAGACTGTGGCCTTTGAACATGCTGAGAAGTATGGGGGGAAGGGGAGGATTTGATGGGGGAACCGCCCGCACCCCAGCCCCTGTGCTGGGAGTTGGCCAGGAAGATCTATGAGATTACCCTCGAGCAATGTCCCAGCAGGGAAGGTGTCGAGGACAGTAGGTGAACATGAGGGCGCCATGTTGCCCCGGAACTTTTCTTCCAAAGGTGGTTCCTTGGTTTGAAGTGCTTGCCTGGCAGGTGCAAGGTTGTGAGTTCGAACTCCGGTGCCTGCTTCATGTGCTCGGCCCTGCTGTTAAGGGTTCTGGGTGAGGAAGACCCCCAAGGGGGAATCCTGACTGCAACCTCCAGCAATGGAGATATGAGAAAGATGAAGATAAGTGACAGATGGGGCTCGAGAGATGGGAGATCAGATAAAGCACCTGCTTTGCACACGGCCGGCCCAGGTTCCATCCCCTGCACCTCAGACAGTTCCTTGATCCTGCCAGGAGTGATCCCTGAGCACAGAGCCTGGAGTGATCCCTGAGCACTCCCAGGTACCGCCCAAACACAAAACCAAAGACAGAGTTTCAGAACAGGTAGCAGGCAGTCAGGGCTCGACTTGGCCCGGCCGGAGGGAGTGGAGGAAGCATTCGCGTGTGAAGCCGCGGCAGCCTCTCACATACTCAACCCACTCCTCTCCTCTCCCTTCAACCCTCTGTGCGCACCCCACCACCCACCTCCGATCCCACACCGCGCCCCCTGCAGGCTGCCTGACCCCCAGAGAACACACGTGATGTGGGCGACCAGCAAGGTAGGTTGCTGGCTGACCTTGGGGGTGTCCGCACCATAGCAGGGGGAGGTGGGTAGAGTTGGCATTCCCCCCACAGGGCTGACTGACCGCTGCATGGGGGGCCTGGGGGGGGGCTGTTTCCCTCCTGCAGGACTTTGGGATGTCGGGGCTCCGCTTCGGCACGCTGTACACGGAGAACCAGGACGTGGCCACGGCTGTGGCTTCCCTCTGCCGCTACCATGGCCTCAGCGGCCTGCTGCAGTACCAGATGGCCCAGCTGCTCCGTGACCACGGTGACTGACCGGGCACCTGTGAGGGTGGTGGGAAGGGCTGGGGTCCCTGGGTCCATCCATTCATCCATTTTGTTCGTCTGTACGGGGTCTCGCTTGGGCACTCTTTGCAAGGGCCAACTCTGGGCCCAGACTCATTTCTTGCATCCTTTCCTGGCTTGGGGGACACAGGCGTCACCATCCTGGCTTGGGGGACACAGGCTCCACCTCCCAAGCCTGGCTTCCTCACTGGTAAAGCAGGAATCAGCAGGGCACTAGTCTGGGAGGGTTTGAGTGCTGTTCGGTGTTCCGTGAGAATAGTTCCTGGTTGGGGGCCAGAGAGATAGTGCAGTGGTTAGATGCAGCTGACCTGGGTTCAATCCCTGGCACCCCATACAGTCCCCTGCAAGGAGCGATACCGGTGTGCAGAACCAGAACCAGGAGTAAATCCTGAGCACAGCCATTATGGCCCTCAAAATACACACACACACACACACACACACACACACACACACACACACACACACACAATATTCCTGGCACAAAAATATCCCTGGCACATCTAGTCTGGTCCCAGAGCCAGAGTATGAGTCCGAGTGCCCCTGCATGGACACCACTTCTCTTTTGGTCCCCCTGAATCATAGCAAGCAGGTGCCCTGGTCTCCCTGGATTTACTGAGAGAGGAAGTGAGTACCAGACTCCACACACCTACTCTCCCAGTGACTGTTGAGAGAGAGCAGTGAGAGCTCCCCTTGTAGACGAGGATGTGGAGGCCGGACATCACTGTGCCGTCACTGCTGGGGGTGCAGAGGGTTGGGCTTGGGAGGTCAGGCAACAACAAGTGCCCAGAAGCCCCGCCCTGGCTGTCTGCCCACGCTGCTGTGGCCTTTCCCCTCTGCACGCACATGTGCGAATGTGTATAAGTGTGTGTGAATGTGTTTGTGCGGTGTGTGGGAGTGTGCGTGTTGTGTCCATGAGTGTGCTGTGTGAGAGTGTGCATATGAGTATATGTGTGAGTGCATGTGAGTGTGTTGTGTGTGACAGTGTGCTGTGGGTATGTGTATGAGTGTGTTGAGTATGTGAGTATATGTAAGGATGTTGTGTGAGTATGTGTGTGTATAAGAGTGTGTGTGAGAGAGAAAGAGAGAGAGAGAGAGAGTGTGTGTGTGTGTGTGTGTAGGGGCTAGAGCCATAGTATAGTGGGTAGGGCGTTTGCCTTGAACCTGGTTCAACCCCTGGGACACAGGTTCAATCCCTGGCATCCCATATGGTTGGTTCCCTGAGCACCTCTAGCAGTGATTCCCTCGTGCAGAACTAGGAGTAACTCTGAGCATCTCTAGAAGTGACCCAAAAGCCAAAAAAAAAAAAAAAAAAAAAAGAGTATGTGAGTGTGTGTGAGTATGTGTGTGTGCATAAGAGTGTGTGTGAGTGCATGCGAATGTGTTGTGTGTGTGTGTTTATGTATGTATGTGTGTTTGGGGGGTGCTGGCTCCATGACTCTTGGGCCTCTCGCCCTCCCCCTTCCCCCCTCCCCAGACTGGATCAACCGTGTTTACCTGCCGGAGAACCATGCCCGCCTGCAGGCTGCTCATGGCTTTGTCTCCGCTGAGCTGGAGGCCCTGGGGGTGCCCTTCCTGAGCCGGGGGGCCGGCTTCTTCATCTGGGTGGACCTGAGAAAGGTGAGGCCAGTTGGAGGTAAGGTGGGGGGAGGGGGCGGGGTGGCTTGGGAGGAGGAGGAGGGGGGGGAGTCAGACCTGTCTTCCAGCAGGGGGTGATTCTCAGGCGCCCCCTGAGCCCCCTCCCCGCCTGTTCCTGGACCCCCAGTACCTGTCCACGGGTACCTTTGAGGAGGAAGCGCGGCTCTGGCGTTGCTTCTTGGACCACAAGGTGCTACTGAGCCCCGGCAAGGCCTTCGAGTGCGTGGAGCCAGGCTGGTTCCGCGTGGTCTTCTCGGACCAGGCCCACCGGCTCCGCCTGGGTGAGCAGCCTCCTTCATCCCGTGCCCCCTCCTCTGCTCCCTGCCGTGGCCCCAGCACCCTGGTGCATCGGTGCCCCCATTCCTGCTAAGCGCCCTCACATCTGCCCTACAGGCATGCAGCGGTTCCGATGCGTGCTGGAGGGCAGCCTGGGTGCATCAGGCCCTGGAGCAGGCCGGTCAGCGCCAGCCACAGCCGCCTGCCCAGGGCCTCTCGGGGCCGAGAAGACCAATCCTGGACAAGCCACATGCCAGGACGATGCCCCCCCATAGCCTGGACCCCCGGGCAGACCTGTCTGGCCTCTCTGGGGGCAGTTCCTAAAGCAGGATCCCTTCCCGCTCCGTCAGAGGAGACCCAAGAGAAGTTTCCAGAACAGAACGGGGGACGGGGGACGGGGGGGCAGGGGAGGATTTGCTGCTCCTCTGCCCATCACTCAGTGCCCCCAAGGATGGGGACAGAAAAACAAACAGCGTGTCCCCTCTCTGTGAGCACACCTTCATTTCCCCTCCTGGGTTGCCAGGGCGACAGCCAACGGTGCCCCCACATACCCAATCGATGCCTGTCAGAGAAATAAAAAAGCAGCCACTGTTTCCAGCTGCCAGGAAGAAGGAGTTGAGTGTTCTCAGGTTCAGATCGTTCCCCTGCGTGGGAGGACAGAATGGAAGCTTGGGGGAAGGCGGTTCTGGAGTGGGTCTCTGCTGGGGACTGGGGGACACTCTGGTGGTGGTGGGGGGTGGGGGTCAGGGGCTGGAGGTAGGAGCCTGGAGGGACTCTTCTGTCTCCAGACCCGGCTCGGCCCTCACTGCTGGTCCCGATCTAGAGAGAGTGAGTAGGCCAGGGCTGTGGCACGTGGCCCGCGATGGGCCCTGCCCAGTGGCTTCTGTGTTGCTGCCCTGAGGTCACTGCTATCGTTGGCTGCTTTGTCCTACCTGGCAGCTCCTACCATGAGCATCCCTCATGGGCCCGGGTCCCCTCCTCATTGCAGGAGCTGGCCCTTCCATGGATTAGCATGGACTGGGGTCTGCTCAACCCTCTTCTCGAGGTGGGCTCACCCCAATGTTCTCTTTCTTCTCTCTTGGGGATGACACCCAGAGTCGCTACTGACACACATACAAAGAAAACCTCTCCTGCTCAGGGAACCGAGTGTGACAGAGTCTGAGTAATCCAAGGACCATCAGTTCTCTGAGTTCAAATGAAAATGACTTTCGTCACCACCCTTGGTATGCAAGTCTAGGGTTGGTCGTTCAAGTGACCAGACACATATCCAATGATCTCTATGAGCCTAATCATGTCAAATCACCAGGAAAAATGTCCCCTTTCCCCTCTCCCCCCTCCCCCATCCAGGATGATACCATTTATTTACTTCAGTTTTTATTTCAGTCAATGAGAACTCTTTTCTTTTTTCTTCTTGGGACACACCCAGAGATGCTCAGGGATTACTCCTGGCTCATGTACTCAGGAATTACTCCTGGCAGTGCTCGGGTGATCATACAGGATGCTGGGAATTGAACCCTGGTCGGCTGCGCGCACGGCAAATGCCCTCCCTACCCGCTGTGCTATCGCTCCAGCCCCCAATGAAAACTCTTAAACCATTATACTACTTAAGATTCTTTTGGGACTAGAGAGACAGTACAGGGGCTAAGGCACTTTGGTTCTGTTCTGTCTGGGGGCCAAACTTGGCTGTGCTCAGGGTCTCCTCCCTGCCTATCGAAGAGGGTGGGCTTCAATGTTCTCATTTTAGTTTCACATTTTTGTTTTGGGCATACTCCAGGCAGCGCTCAGGGCTTATTCCTGTGCTCAGGGATCACTTCTGGTGGGGCTCAGGGAACCACCTAGGGTGCCAGGGAGAGAACCTGGGTTGGCGGCATGGAAGGAAAACACCCTACCTGCTGTACTCTCTCTCTGGCCCCGGCTTTTATTTTTCAGACCTTGTCTGTTTTCTCTCCTTTTCCCCAGGGAGCTCAGCTATCAATTTGAGTGACCTGCATTCACTCTGTTTGGTCTGTTTAAGACATATTTCTAAGCTGCCAAGCACTGCCAGGGTTGTTTAAATCTGGGGTTTTGCTTCACCATAGCAGTTCCTTTGAATGGTAAGCTCACATTTGGAAAAGTGACTCATGGGCCTTTTCCTTGAAAGTCATGTCCTTTTGAACAGCTCACTTCTGCTTCTCCAGAGCCTGGGTCGGGGAAAACCATTCACCATGTAATTTTGAGGGCAAGTTTTTTGTTTTTTTTTTGGCAACAAAGTGGAGTGTGACTACTATATAATGCTTTAAAAAATTATGTCTGGGGACCGGAGTGATAGTCAAGCGGGTAGGGCGTTTGCCTTGCACACAGCAGACCAGGGTTCGATCCCTGGCATCCACATATAGTTCCCTGGGCACCGCCAGAAGTAATTCCCGAGTGCATAACTTGGAGCATTGCCAAACCGATAAATAAATAAAATACACAAATAAATAAAAATTTGTCTGGGATCCAGAGAGATAGCACAGAGGTTAAGGCTGTTGTCTTGCACTCAGCCCGTCTTGTGGTTCCCCAAGCACCCCCAGATGCCTGAATGCAGAGCTGGTGTAGATTCTGAGCACAGTCAGGTGTACCTCACCCCCATTTTTGTTGATATTCCTTAAAAATGGCTTTTTACTAGGCTGTCTTTGATATACTATTAGGATGCACAGAAAACTCATATCACGATCACGATCATCCTGTTGTTCATCGATTTCCTCAAGCAGGCACCAGTAACGTCTTCTTCCTAGCCCTGAGATTTTAAAAGAGCCATTTCAATGCTCTTTCAGGATTAGGAGAATGAGACCCATCATTGTTACTGGTATTTGGCATATTGAGTATGACACGGGAAATTTGCAAGACTCTGCCGTGTAGGCAGGATACTTTTGGTAGTCTGCCAGGTTCTCCAAAGGAAAAAATAAGATAATAAGATATTGCGTGGCCACAAATGCGGCCACGCACTTCCGGGAGCTGGGTTTTATAGTCTCTGCGTCTTGACCGTTGATGGGACCAACCTGGCGCTGGCGGCAGCTGGTGGGTGTGACGCCGACGTACTGGAAGATGGAGGGTCTAGGTGCAGAAGGCCCAGTCCCAATCCGAGTAGGCTTGGAGACCTTAGCCCCGGCACCCACATGCCAGGGTTCCTCTGCCAGTTCTTTCATGCATGAGGCCCGTCCGGACGTGTGGAGAGTGTGGGAGCGATAGCAAGGGCTGGAGCGATAGCACAGCGGGTAGGGCGTTTGCCTTACAAGCGGCCAACATGGCCGACCCGAGTTCGATTCCTCCGCCCCTCTCGGAGAGCCCGGCAAGCTACCGAGAGTATTCGATATGCCAGACACAGTAACAACAAAGTCTCCAATGGAGACGTTACTGGGCCCGCTCGAGCAAATCGACGATCAACGGGAGGGCCTTTACCTTTTTTTTTTTATATATATATATATATATTTGAATAATCTGGGGCTTGAGTGATAGTACAGCAGGTAAGGTGCATGCCTTGCATTTGGCTGACCTGGGTCCAATTCCCTGGACCCCATATGGTTCCCCTGAGTCCTATCAGAAATGTTCTACAAGCTCAGAGCCATGAGAAGCTCTGAGCACTTCCAAGTTCACACCTCTCCCCACCCCCAAAAGCCCTATAATCGAATAACCTGAGTCAATGCACACCATTTCTTTGAGACTGTTTAGTGAACATTTTTCTTCTCCAGAAAAAAAGAAAGCTCATGCATCAGTTTATTGTTGATTTTCACAGTAGAATTGAACTGTTACACTTCAGGAAATTTGTCAGTGCTGTGAACTCCAGATGTGATAAATGTAATCTTTTTTTTTGCTTTTTGGATCACACCTGGCAATGCACAGGGGTTATTCCTGGCTCTGCACTCAGAAATTACTCCTCCTGGCGGTGCTCAGGGGACCATATGGGATGCTGGGAATCGAACTCAGGTCAGCCACGTGCAAGGCAAATGCCCTACCCGCTGTGCTATCTCTCTAGCCCCGATAAATGTAATCTTCTGTGGGTGGGTACTTACCTGTCTTGCATGCAACAGACCCAGGTTTGATTCCTCAGCCCCACGAATGGTCCCCTAAGCACAGAGCCAGGAGTGATCCCTAAGCACAGCCAGTTGATGTCCCCCACTCCCTCGCCATCCTAAATCCAAAATCTAATTTTCATGTCTAAAGAGCCAGGCGCCACTTCCGTTGGCTTTGTCCCTGACGTACTGTCCTCAGCATCTCTCAGCTGTGTTTGCTTTGTTGCTCTGACACGCACATCACCTTCAGATCTGCTGGAAACCCCCATCGTTTTGAAGCTTTTGATGACTGTCCCATGTGTATAAGGACCCAAGTCTTCATCATCTAAGTGTAGACAAACAGATGCAACAAAAAGGCAACAGACCAGGTTCAGAGGAGAAAGCAAAAAATGGGGCTCCATCCACTCTGTCACACTAAGCGAGGCTTCATCTTTCTTGTCGCTGAGTAGTATCCTGTCACGGATATGACTTTTTTATTCACTCCACACATACCCAGCGAGTGCTTTCTGTGTGCCAAGCATCTGTAAAAAAGCAAATTCCTCCAGTGCTGTGCTCCTACGAGATTTTTTTAAACATAGAACATTCTCACTCAAAGAAAGAATAAATGGTTCATTGAAAACACAGCTTTTGGGGACTGGGAGATTGGATAGTAGTTGCGGTACATACTAGGCATACAGCCAACCCAGTTTCGACCCCCTGCATCGTACTGCTGGGTGCAGCCTTGGACGTCCCTGGCCGTACCAGATGGTCCAGGTAGTAGACCAGGCACTGAGGGGTCTGAGCAGTACCCCATTCTCTCTGACCTGTGCTTTTTAAAAAATTTTTTTTATTAGTGAAACACCATGAGATACAGTTGTAGACTTACAAATTTTTGTGCTTGGCTTTGAGCTAGTGGCTCAGTTGACTGAGAATCACCAAGTGGAGCCCCCAGGCCTCCTAAGCACCCCTTTGGAGATTATCCACAAAACCCTAACAAAACAAAAACAAACCCACCTTTTTTTTTTCATTACAGAGAGAAAGAAGCAAGCAGAAATGTTTTCTATCTATCCAATTCTCAAATGGGGTCTCTGTATGCCAAATATCCTTTCTTGGTGGAATGTAGATTTAGAGGGCGAGGAAACTTCTTGGAAATAGGGAAACGGGGGCTGAAGAGATAGTACAGCTGTGAAGGTGCTTGTCTGGCCCGTGGCTGACCCAGATTCCATCCCTAGAACCCCTTAGGGTCCTGCAAGTCTGCCAGGAGTGACCCCGGAGCACAGAGACAGGGGTAAGCTCCGAGCACTGCCAGGTGTGGCCCCAAAAGGCAAAATAAGGAAAAAAAAAGATAGAGAAGCAGAATGTGGGTTTTCATCTCCAGCATACTCTGGTTCCTCGATGTCCTTAAATCTATCACTAGACGACTTTGACTGGCAGGAGTACTTCCGGAATCCCTCTGACTGCAGGAAGTCCCGGCAGATCTCGGACTATTTGAGCTGTAAGCGAGCACTTCCACCAGGTGGCGCTAGGGCACAGCTGGGACCAAAACGGATTCGGATCCAGAAAGCGCTACAACAGGTCCAGCGGGTTTATTTCACGACCCTCTTTTTTTTTTTTTCACGACCCTCTTAAGAGCATTATTCTGCACTTCGAAAATTTTTGGCTCCGTTGACTGTTTTCTGTTAAGGGTTTCACTGTGCGTTAGGAGGCTGGAGCGTTTAAATAATACAGAAACAAAAGGAAAATTTAGTCTCTTTCCCCATATTTACCTTCTCAGTTACTCTCCCCCAAACTGAAAATTGTTTGCTTGAATTCTTTCCAGAAAAAAAGCATACATATGCTTGACTATAAGCATCTGTTATATATTTTCTCTCTCTTCTGTTGTTGCATATATTTTAATTTACATAGAAGATCACTCTTGCCCAAGGTTTTAAAATTTTTTTATTTTTTGTTTTATTCCAGTGCCGAGGATTGAACCCAATACCCACTTAAACACTGCTTTGGGTTTCTCCCTAATGCGATGTTCATATAAACCCATTTTGGCGGTAATTCCATACCCACCCAAATGACTCCTGGCATTATTCCACTGTAATAATACATTTTGGTTGTTTCCAAGTTTTCCAATTTTATTAAAAGCAATGTTGTCGTGCATATTTTTGACAACCGTTGTTTAAAATCCATCGGATAAATCCTTTGCCCACAAGATTGCTGTGATTGTGCTGTGATTGTGTCCCAAGAATACTGCACGCCTTGCCAAAAAAAAAAAAATTCACACCGTCACACTTTTTGAGGTCAGTTTTATGAGTGCTTGTGCATCGTTCAGTTTACAACTCCCCCCATTTATTCTATGGAAATAAAACACCTCTTGTTCATAAGAATTTATTCCATTCAACATCCCAACACCAACCCTGACACCTTCCCATTATTTTGAATTTTCCCACCACCACCCAAACCCGCCCCAAAGGCAGATCCTAAATAATTTATGTTGGCTGGCTTGTTATGAATCCTGTCACTGTCACTATCCTCCCGTTGTTCATCGATTTGCTCGAGCGGGCCCAGTAATGTCTCCATTGGAGACTTTGTTGTGAATAATCCGCTAAAAATGATCCAAAAAGAAAAAAAAGTTTCCTTAGAAGAAAGTGTGTGAAGGTGGTGAAGATGATTGTATCTTCCGGTGGATAACATTAAGCTTTTATAGAAGAGATCACTAACATGTTGTTACAGCCTGTGTACCAATATCTGCTATAAAAAAAAAAACGCCCTCAGGGATGTGGGAGTTGTGACCGCGTTGCGTCTGTTAAGGATAAACTTGCATCTGGACCACTTGGTCTTTTGCAAGGGCTGGGGCGCTGGGCGCGCGGCCCCGCCTGGGAGAGCGCCGAGGGGCGCGCTGACTCCTCCTGTCCAGCAGGGGGCGCGCGCCGGGCCGCTCCGGCAGGCGCAGCGCGGCGGGGGCCAGGAGCGGCCGGGCCGGGTGGTGGACGCCTGATCCCGGGGCGCGCGCGCGCGCGCGCGCTGAGGCTCGCTGAGACCCGGCCGTGGCCGTGGCGGCCGCCCCCTCGGCATCACACCCGCCCGGGTGGCATGAGCCGGTGATCGCGCGCGGGGCCGAGCGGGAGCAGCCGTGGCCGAGGTAAGCGCTGGCCGGGCCGGCCCGGGGTGCGGGCTTGGGGCCTCCCCGCCGCGGCCGGGGCCGGGCTGCAAGGGACCGGCTGTTTTGGGGGCTGGGAGTGGGGTCACTTTCCGCTTCTGGGGCTCTGTTGGACTCCTGCACCCTTCTGGGCCAGCCCGCGCCTTTGCAGTTCCCACCTGTAACCTAGCCAACCTGCCCCGACTACTCTTAAGCTTCCCCCACCCCCACCCCGCCCCCTTTTCTCCCGGAACGCCTCGATTTCCCTTCCCCCTGGCGGGTTCCCCACCCGCACCCCAACTTCACAAGCCCCTTCCCCATTCCCGTGGCGCCAGCGACACGCTTGTGCTGCTCCTTCGCCCTGGGTGTCTCCTGCGCCCCTGGGTTCTGCGCCCGGCGGCGGCCCAAGGCTGTATACCCCGCTGGCCCGGGCAAGATTTGCGCCTCCCACTGGAAGACAGGACTTGGGGACTGTTCCCCCCCCCCCCCCCCCCGGAAGACAGGACTTGGGAAAGGCGAATCCGGGCTGTCCCGGGCCCCCAGCAGCGACCCGGAGCACAGAGGCATTGAGGGGTGTTGAATTCCTGGCGCTGGGAACCAGATCTCAGTATGCAGTTTGGAGACCCCCCCACTCCACCCCCGCGACCCCCACCCCTAAACAATTGCTGGGGGTAATTGGGCAAGGAAGGGGGTGGGAGGAAGGTCACATGCTCATCTCAGGGCCCTTGAGTTGATTTGAGGAGGTTCTTGATCCAGGCCTGCCCCTTGTCACCTGGTGGAGCTGGTGCTGAGCGCGCACGGGGCGTGGTCTGTCGTTTCCGACGCTGTCACCTTCAGTCTTTCCTGCCCCTCCTCTATGACTTCGGCCTCTTGCTTGCACGCATCTAGGGCTGCCGTGGTGAACTCCCTGGGATCTCTTTGCTCAGCTAGCCTGCAAGTTTATGCTGGTTTTGCTGATCGGGGAGTGAAAGGGAACTAACTCTCCAATTGTTTTTTTTTTTTTTTTTCCCTTTCCCCAGGGTGATCTGGGAAAACTGATCATAGGGCTTCCAAGACAGACGCCCAAATTCCAGCCTGGGCACGTTTCTGCTCGTGTGGCGGAGGGCAAGTGACTTAGCCGCGCTGATGGGTTTCCCTGATGAGATCTATACAAAAATTAGCATCATGAGAGTTTGTCACATGGTCATCTGGGGCGCTGAAATAAGGCAGCACAACGGTGTATATCAGCCTAAGTATGATCTGTCTTAGCGTGCGGTTGGTCTAGTTGTTTATTTATTTATTATTTTTTTTTTCCTGTTGGGTCACACCTGGCGTTGCTCAGGGGTTACTCCTGGCTTATGCACTCAGAAATTACTCCTGGCGGTGCTCAGGGGACCATATGGGATGCTGAAAATCGAACCCGGGTAGGCCGCGTACAAGGCAAATGCCCTACCTGCTGTGCTATCACTCCAGCCCCAACAGTTGGTCTAGTTGTTGACTGATGATATTCCTTGTATTAATTACCATGTGATTCTCACAGTCAAAGGGTCACTATTATTTATTTTTTTGGGGGGGCACACCCATTGGTGCTCAGGAGTTAGTCCTGACTTTGTACTCAGGAATCACTCCTGGAAGGTTAGGGAACCATATGGAACACCGGGGATGGAACCGGGCTCAGATCTGTGCCAGGCAAGCGTCTTACCTGCTGTACTGTTGTTCCAGCCCCTAAGGGACACTGTTATTTCACATTTGGAAACCCATTTTTTAGGGTAGTTAGCTATTCTTCATTAATTGTAAAGAATCCTTTATTTTATTCTTTTTTTGGGGGTCATACCCGGCGATGCACAGGGATTACTCCTGGCTCATGCACTCAGGAATTACTCCTGGCAGTGCTCGGAGGGTCATATGGGATGCTGGGAATCGAACCTGGGTTGGCCGCATGCAAGGCAAATGCCCTACCTGCTGTACTAACGCTTCAGCCTGAATCGTAAAGAATCTTAACCTGCTAAGGGAACGGGTGAGAGACAGGATTTCTCCGCTGTGGCTAATATTTTGGTTCCCAGGTTCTCAGGCACGCTGGGGTTAAAAGTACCAATGCAGCCCCCAGATTCTCCAGAGTCACTCAAACCTTCTTTCCCCCAGCCCCCCCTTTTTTTTTTGCCAAACCCAGCAGGCGCAGGGGTCAGGTTCTACTCATGGTTCTGTTCTCAGGAGTCACTCCTGGCAGTACTTGGGGGAGGGCCCATATACGGTGTCAGGGATTGAACCGGGATTGGCCGCATGCGAGGCTTGTGCTGTACCTGCTGTACTGTCTCTCTGGGTATGACTCGAAGCTTTGCACTACGTGACCTGGCAGTCACCTAGGGCCCGAGAGAACATTCTTCTCATCCTGGCCAGGAGCTGGGCCTTCACAGTTTCTTCCAGTGACTCAACACCTGACACGGCTAGCCAGTGCCTACTTGGGTCACTGTGTTTGCAGGGAGGAGAGAGGCCGGAAGGCCGGGGAACTTCTTGATCTGCCACAGCTCACAGCGTTCTATGGGGGCCAACTTGCCTTGGTGACTGGTTCTGCTTTGCCTGGCCTTCTCTGAGAGACACCAGCGTGGACAGGGGGACTGTGGTTAGCTCGCTGGGGTGCCGGCTCCGCTCACTCACCTTCTCTTGGGGGCTCTGTGGCACAGACTGTGGGGGGCCCACTCCGGGAAAAGCCCCCCCCCCCCTTGCAGGATGGAGGGCCTTAGGTGGAGGGAAACCAGAGCTTCCCAGGGACCCTCCTGGGCTCCCTTCTGCAGACAGGCTCTTGGGGTCCCTGAGCCCCCTTTGCCCAGCTTCTTACGGTCACCAGCGCCTTCACGCACCACCATGGCTTCCTGTCTACCCCGATCGCTCCTCCTTTGTCCACCCCTGGCTTCCGCCCTCCCCTCCGCCAGCTCCCCCTCACCACGTGTTTTTTCCTGAGTTTGGCAGAATAGAAACAAGGCGGGTGTAACATGGACCTTTGCTGGCGCAGCTGAGCTGTGGCTGGACCCCAATGGTAAGCCTCTCGTTGGGGGCGGGGCGGGATGCCTACGAGAAGGGGAGAGAAGGGGAAGCCGTGGTGGCCCCTTCGCTCCAGCCCCCCCCCCCCCCCTTCCTGCGGCACCCCAGAGGGAGCAAGTCAGCTCTGGTTCATTCCCTTGGTGACCTTGGGCTGAGACCAGGTCTAAGGACAGACCCTTGGAACTCCAGGACCAGAGACGAATTGTGACTGTGGCAGAAACGGCCCCGAGGGCTGAGCGCAGAGCCTTGGTTTGGGTGCCCCTGGCTGAAGTCAGGACCCTGATGGAAGAAACTGGCTCCCATGATCAAGCACGGAGATGCTGAACTGTGGGGATGTCCTGAGAACTCTGTTTGTTGCTGTGTGTGGGCCCACACCTGGAGATACTCTGGGGTTACCCCTGGCTCTGCATTCAGGAATCACTCCTGGAAGTGCTCAGGGGACCATATGGGATGCTGGGGATCGAAGCCAGCTGGGAGCTGGGCTGCTTGCAAGGCAGGTAGGTGCCCTGCCCGCTGTACTAGGGCTCCAGCCCCTGAGAACTTTGGACCCTCATTTCCTGAGCTCCGGCCCAGAGCCAGCAATGGGCCCCTCCTCTCCTCCCCTGGACGCTTGCGAAGACTCTCCGGGAGGGAGATGCCTGGCAGCTTGGGGCCTGTCCTGCAGGCCTGTCTCATTCCCACAGTGGCCAGCCAGGTCTCAGGAAGTGCAGCGTTGTGCTGAGTGAGCTACACTGGGCTGGGGGGGGGACTGGGGAAGTGGGGGTACGGGCCTGAGGGATCACACAGGGCTGATGTGGCAGGGTGACACATCAGGCTGGCTGTCCGCCCTCCTGCCTCCCGGCTGGACTGGGATGTGGACATGCCCCAGCAGGCCATGGGGAGCGACAGGCCCCGTAGGGGTGGTTCACGCGTGAGGTAGGGGTTGGGCTTTGGCCATGTCTGGGTGTAGTGTGGGTCGTCTTGGCGGAGACTGGCTTCCGGGTGTCTCTTGAGCAGAGGCCCGGGGTGCTGCTGAGCTCTGGGTGCTGCCCTGCCGGGCTCCCCACCAAACAGGGTGCCAGGCCCCACGCAGCAGTGGGAGATGGGGCCTGCAGAAGTCCAGGCCACGGTGGTGTCGGGGGAGTGGTAAAGGAAGAGTCAGGAGACTCAAAGGGTGGGATGTGGGGATGTGGTACCTCACCCCAGCGTCCAGAGAGGTGGGCAGTGAGAGGCCAGTGCTTAGAACAGCTCGGCATTGGTGGTTGCCTTCTGTGGGCCAGTTGGCCCAAGAACATGTGACCATGGAACTGGGCGCCAAGAGTCGGCAAGGCCGAGGGGATGCAGAGACGGGAGGGCCCGTGGTGGTGCACGCTCCCCAGGAGAGGCGGGCAGACATGGGTCCCACACCACCTGAGCTGACGGTGGATGGCAGACGGCAGATAGTGGCCAGCCCAGGCCCCACATTGCCCCCACATGGCTCCCACGTGGCTCTGGTGACCAGAAACCATAGTGCAGGCCGGGAGCACAGTGGCTTGTCCCTGTCTGCTTTGTGGTGGCCTATCGCTGTCTGCTCAGAGGGGGTGACCCAGCCCCTGCCCAGAGCCCACTGCTGCGGGGGTTGGGGGGAGATGCCATCTCTGCCTTGTCCACGCTAGAGAAGACTCCAGCTCTGCTTCTTGGCTAAGGGGAAGATGGTGGGGAGGGCTGGGCTGATAACAACCTCTTACACCCCTCACCCCTTTCTGCGAAGGGTTTCAGGCACCCCACTTCTTCCCTGAGAGCCCCCAAGGCCGGGAGCAGTGAGGGACAGGTGACAGTCCATGCCTTGGCCAGGCTTTTGAGGATGCCAGCAACCCCCACCCCATCCTCTCTCTGATCCTCAGGGGGTGGGAACCTCAAACTGGCACAGGTAGGAGGCAGAACAGTGCGTGGACTGGGGACCCATCTTCTTCCCAGGCCTCCAGCTGAGTCCCTGGAGGACTCCAAGCTGGGGAGTGCCTGCAGCTCCAGGGGCTGCCAGCAGGGGGCAGCGTGGCAACCTCCCCCCACACCCCCCCCCCCCCCCCCTTCTTTTTCTGGGGCTCTCTTGTCCACCCTCACCCTGCAAATGTTTTTATGTGCATATGTGCATTCTTGTTTTCTCAGGTGTTTTTTTCCTTCTCCCTTCCCTCCTTGTCTAGTTTTTGTTCGGTTTGGCGGGGTAGGCGGAGGTTAGCCTGGGTATATTTCTGCTTTACTCCGTTAGGTGTTCTTGATCACTGACCGATCGCTGGTGCTTCTTGGCCAGAGCTGTGGCGAATGTCTCTGGGCTTGTGTTTGTAGCTCGTCCAACTTCTTGCTGATGGGGCTTCGCCAAGACCACATATGTGTTCCTCAGGGTCACACCTGCTACTGCCTCAGGGTTTGCACTTTTTAGTGTTTTGCTTGAGAATCCCTCTGGGGCTGGAGGTCCTGAGATCTGCATTGGGCTCTGAGTCCTTCCTTTGCTCCACCTGTTACTCATCGCCAAGTAAAGCATGGCAGGCTTCCCGGAGCTGGAGGGCAGCAGCTATGGGGCCCCTCTCTCTGATGGCTACTTGCCCCCCCCCCCCAATCCCTTGGCTTTTCCTGTTGGTGGTGACGCCACCATGGCGATGTGCATATGGCTGGCCCAGGTGCATCCCAGTTTTGCAAAACATGGATAGGGCTCTGTGCGGTTTGCACTCCTTTACTTGTGATGCTTTTCTGGGTGTCTGCTGGGAAGGGGCATTTGTTTCTTTCATTGGGGCATGCAAGGTAGGGTCGCTGTGCTTACAGTGGACAGCAGAACCGCCCCTGCCCCCCCCCCCCCCCCCCCCCCGCATGTTGTGCTCCCAGGGATTTGAACTCTGGACCAGATGCTTGCAAGGCAGCTGTTCCAAGCTGCCCACACCCTGTGCTATTTTCATGAATTTGTAAGGTCTCTAAAGAGCCCCCAGAAAGGCCACTTTCTGTCAACGCAGCACATCCCTAAAGGACTGAGACCCAGAGATAGGAAAGAGTGTGTGTCCTCCCAGTCTGTCTCTCCCACGTCTATGAAATACTGTTTCCTCTATAGACAGGGGTGGGAGCGGGGCCTGACTGAGTCTCCAACCGCTCTGGGCATTGCTGATACTTCCCAGCTGAGTCTTTACATTTTGCAACTTTGTTACAGTTTTTTGTATCTTCTCCCACTGTTAGAATATTCCTCCCTGGAGCGCTGCAGGTGCCATTTCTGCTTTGTTTTCTCTCCAGCCCCGTTAAGAGATTCTATCCCCGGTCCATAGAAAGAGAATAGATTTTTTGAGGGAGAAGGGGGGCACACTCCGTGTTGCTCAGAGGTTACCCCTTGCTCTGCATTCAGGGATCACTCCTGGGGGTGCTAGGGGCTAGGAGGGGGGTGACCATCTAGCATGCTGTAGATCAAAACCAGGTCCACCAGATGCGAGGCAAACCCCCTACCCGCTGCCCCACCCCCTCTCTCTCCCGCCCACACACGGGTCTTAAAGGAACGCAAGAGAGAAGCTTTTCCAGAAACAGTGAATTCTGTCCATCCCCACGAGCAGGAAAGAGCTCTCTGGGTCTCTTTCCACCTTTGGAGGTTCCTTCCTTTACCGCCGCGCCCCCTTATCCCCATGCCTCTCTCGCCTCTGTGCTCGGTGGATAGATATCCTTACAAGATACCGCCGTGTTCCTAGAAAATGTGCCGCGTTTGTACGGGCGGATGGGGGATAGCTACGCACCCAAGGGCGCCCCACCTCGTCGCCGGCCGGGGGAGTGCCCAAGCGCCTCTGCAGAGTGGCTGGTCTTGCCAATGCGCCGATGATGATGATGCTGATGCTGATGATGATGTTGATGACGATGACGACGGCTGTCCTTTCTCTCCGCCCCGCGGCAGGAGTGGGAGGAGGAGGCTGCGTGTGCCAGCATGTGCGCGTCGGTCAAGTACAACCTCCGGGGTCCCGCCCTCATCCCAAGGATGAAGACCAAGCACCGCGTCTACTACATCGCGCTCTTCTCCGTGGTGCTGCTGGGCCTCATCGCCACGGGCATGTTCCAGTTCTGGCCGCACTCCATCGAGTCGGCGGCGGCCGAGTGGGGCGCGGCGCGGCGCAGCGCGCGGGACGTGCCCGTGGTGCGCCTGGCGGCCGACGCGCCCCTGCCCGAGCGCGGCGACCTCAGCTGCCGCATGCACACGTGCTTCGACGTGTACCGCTGCGGCTTCAACCCCCGGCACAAGATCAAGGTGTACATCTACGCGCTGCGCAAGTACGTGGACGCGGCGGGCGCGCCCGTGGGCCACGCGCTCTCCCGCGAGTACAACGAGCTGCTCGCGGCCATCGCCGACAGCGACTACTACACGGACGACATCGGCCGCGCCTGCCTCTTCGTGCCCTCCATCGACCTGCTGAGCCAGGGCGCGCTGCGCGTGCGGGAGACGGCGCAGGCGCTGGCGCAGCTCTCCAGGTGAGGCCCGCGCGCCAGGGAAGAGACGCCAGGGGGTGCCCGACCCGCGCTGCCCCGGGGAGGTTGGTGGCCCCGCGGAGGAGGCTGGTGGCCCCGCTGTTGGGACCGTCCTGGGGAGACGCAGGCCCCCTCCGTGCTGCCAGGCTGGGTCCTCCTCTGTCCTTGCTCTCCGCCCCATGGCAGGAGTGGGAGGAGGAGGCTGCGTGTGCCAGCATGTGCCCGCCTCCCCCTCCTCCTCCTCTTCCTCCTGTTCCTCGTCCTCTTCTTCCTCCTCCTCCTTCCTCCTCATCCTCTTCCTTCCCATCATCTTCCTCCTCCTCTTTCTTCGTTCTCTTCCTCCTCCTCCTTCTCCTTCCTCCTTCTTCCTTCTCCTTTTTCTTTCCTCCTCCCCCTCTTCTTCCTCCTCCTCCCTTTCCTCTCCCTCTCCTCTTCTTCTTTATCCTCCTTCTCCTTTTTTCCTTTCACTTTGAATCGTTTCTTTAAGCATTTGCTGTGCCTTTTACGCAGCCTGTGTGTACAATTTTACTCCAAAGTCATCTCTTAAAAAAAAGTATCTTTTTAAATTTAATTTTTAACTTTTTAAATTTTGTTTTAACAATCACCATGAGATACAGTTACAGACTTACAGACTTTCGTGATTACGTTTCAGTCATAGAGTGATCAAGTACCCATCCCTCCACCAGCGCCCATTCTCCACCACCAGTGTTCCCAGTATCCCTCCCACCACCCCGACCCCTTCCCACCCCCTGCCTCTGTGGCAGGCACATTCCCTCTTACTTTCTCTCTCCTTTTGGGTGCTGTGGTTTGCAATACAGGTACGGAGTGGCCATCATGTTTGGTCCATAGTCTACTTTCAGCATGCATCTCCCAACCCGAGTGAGCCCTCCAACCATTATTTACTTAGTGGTCCCTTCTCCATCCCCCAAGTATATTCTTTGGGGTTCATTCTTTCGAAGAAGGCAGCAGGATTTACAGACTTCTTTATAGTTGAGTTTCAGGCCTGCAGTGGCCCAGCACTAATCCCATCATCAGCGTCCACTTCCTTCTACCAGGGTCCCCAGATTCCCTCCTACCACCAGCCTGTCCCCTAGACAGACACACATTTAGGTTGGCTGTTGTAGTTGGGCTCCAGTTTATAGTGTTGTTGACTGTGCTTGGGTCCACAGCTCTACACTCTAACACCACTGCTGTGCCCCACATCCTTGACCCCTGCCTTGACCCCCCAATTACTTCTCCCCCGAGTACCCATCTTCTTAGAGGACAAAACCTCTGGCGGGCTTGGCTTCCCATTCTCTCTTTTGTTTGGGGGCCATATCCGGTGATGCTCTGGCCTCACTCCTGGCTCTGTGCTCAGAGATCACTCCTGGAGGGGGTTGGGGGACCCTTTTGGCACTGGGGATCATCAAATCCAGGTCAGTTCTGTGCACCGTCCTAGCTCTCTGGCCTTGCTCTTTGTTTTATGTCATTTATTTTGGGGCCACACTTGCTGGTGCCATGCTGGGGGGACCAGGTCTGGGAGAAAACCTGGATGCGGCATGCAGTACATGGGCTCCAGCCCCCCCATTCCTTCCCTTTCACATGTAAGTGCCCCTCCCTCACCCTACCCCACCCTGCCTTGTTACTTGTTGCCCATGTTCACTGTTACAAAGTATGAAAATAGAGGTTGGCAAAAGGAGAGTTCATTCCAGAATCCTGCCTGTCCGCTGTAGAGGTTGCTCAGAGGTCAGGGCTGGGGTCAGTCCTAGGATTCAGTCCCTGGTCCTGCCCGGCCCTCTAGCACCACTGGGCACAGCCCTGGAGGCCCCGGAGCATCATCAGAGTGACTAGGTGCCCTCCCCCCAAACACACACACACACACACACACACACACACACACACACACTGCCTTACCCCTGCCCAGGCGGTTCCATATCACCAGGCCAATCCTGCCTTTGGAATGATAATAAAGTGAGTGATGCACTTACCTCATTTGGAGCTCACCTGAGTTCCATCCCCAGTACCCCGTATGGTCCCCCAGCACCATCAGGAGTAATTCCTGAGTGCAGAGCCAGGAGTTGCCTCTGAGCATCATTGGGTGTTGCCCAAAAACCAAAAGATAAAAAAGATTACTATTAATAGGCATATATATTTTTCTTTTTGTGTCACATCCGGTGAGGCACAGGGGTTACTCCTGGCTCTGCACTCAGGAGTTACTCCTGGCGGTGCTCAGGGGACCATATAGGATGTTGGGAATCGAACCCGGGTTGGCTGCGTGCAAGGCAAATGCCCTACCTACTGTGCTATTACTCTAGCCCCTACTATTAATATTTTGATGTTGCCTTTTTAGTCATTTTTGCATTAATGATTGGGCTGAAGTGATAGCACAGCGGTAGGGCGTTCGCCTTACAAGCAGCCAACATGGCCGACCCGAGTTCGATTCCTCCGCCCCTCTCGGAGAGCCTGGCAAGCTACCGAGAGTATTCGATATGCCAGACACAGTAACAACAAAGTCTCCAATGGAGACGTTACTGGGCCCGCTCGAGCAAATCGACGATCAACGGGAGGGCCTTTTTATTTTATTTATTTAAATTTATACATTATTAATCTATACATCTAAGTGTGTGTATAGATACATTATCAAGAATAAGATTATACACTGCATATTCTTTTGCTGCCTTACCCCTCACCCCCGTGTGTGTGTGTGTGTGTGTGTGTGTGTGTGTGTGTTTTGGCTTTGGGGCCACATCCCGCAGTGCTCAGGGCTTACTCCTGGCTCTGTGCTCAGGCCTACTCCTGGCTGGACTTGCTGGGGGTGAAATCCGGGTTGGCCGTGTGCAAGGCAAATGCTCTGCCCACTGTACTATGTCTCCATCCCACCATTTCCATTTTATGACTCTAGTTCCCAAAATCGTATTCTTTTATCAGGTAATTCCAGGAGCTGCGTGGCATTCTGTTGTGCAACTGTTCCAAAAGTGGCCGCCACTGGCCTTCTCTTTGATTTCTCTTCGGTTTCTATAACTAAATAATGAGCGCTCAGGTCATTTCCTGGTTTCTGTGGTCATCATTGGTTCTGGGAGACAGAGTAACTACCCCCATCCCCCCAGTCTCTCTCTCTCTCTCTCTCTCTCTTTCTCTCTCTCTCTCTCTTTCTCCCTCCCTCCCTCTCCTCTCCCCCTACTCCTCTCCCAGTGCATGGCCAGGCCTTCCAGGACTCTGCCCACCCTGTGAGGTGTGGCCCTGCGCTGGGCTGGGGACAGTCACTGCCTGTTACCTGGGAGCTGACCCTGGCGTCCAGATCTTTGCTGCTGACACGTGATCTCACGCCTCTGCTTCCTTTCTCCCTAGGTGGGATCGGGGTACCAATCACCTGCTCTTCAACATGTTGCCTGGAGGCCCCCCAGATTATAACACAGCCCTGGACGTCCCAAGAGACAGGTGGGTGCATGGGGGGGTGCCCCTGGACCAGGTTTTTTGGGGAGTAACTAACTATAGTTGGTTTTATTCGCGCGAGATCATATTCCTGAGCCGACTGGGACAGACTTTGTGATAAAGGCCCAGCCTCTCCCATCCGTTAGACATAGGCGCCTCTGCGGCCAGGGCTGCAGAGGGTCTGTGGGGGTGGCATGGGCAGCTCTGACCTTGGGACCCCAGAGGGAGGCAGTAAGCATGCAGGAGCTGGTGTGGGAAGCGTAGGGCACAACTTCGGTGCCGCAATGCTGCTGCCTTCACGGGGGTGGGGGTGGGGCTTCCTGCTGGCACCCCTGCCTGGGCCCCTGGTTCTCGCCCAGTGACCAGATCCTCTGCCCTCAGGGCCCTGTTGGCCGGTGGCGGCTTTTCCACATGGACTTACCGCCAAGGCTACGACGTCAGCATTCCTGTCTATAGCCCGTTGTCTGCCGAAGTGGAGCTTCCGGAAAAAGCACCCGGGTGAGGCAGGGGAGCGGGGAGGGCCTGCGGGGGGGGGGGGGGGTCACTGGGGAGAGGGGTATGCAGACCAGGGCCCACTGCACCCGCTGCCCCTCAGTGCTGGGGCCATGCCCAGGGAAGCGTCCAGTGTCCTTTCCTGGGGTGCAGGTCGGGGGGCACTGCTGAGCTCCTGGTGCCCACTACCTCCTGAAGTGAGAGATCAGAAGTGACTCAAGCTACCTCTGCCCTGTGTAGAGGGGCCACCTCCCCACACCAGGCCACCGTCAGCTCTCCCCGAGACCCCTGAGATGCTGGCCCTTAGTGTCTGCGTCTAGGCCTGCTGTACCCTGGTAATCCCAACTGATGGCCCCATAGGGGAAGCACCTGCTACCGTCCCTTTGTTTTTTGGAAGGGGTGGCCACACCTGGCAATGCAGTCAAGAATCACTCCTGGCGGTGCTCAGCAGACCATACAGGATGCCGGGGATCGAACCCGGGTCGACCGTGTGCAAGGCAGGAGCCCTCCCCACTGTCCTGTTATTCCAGCCCTCTGCCCCTGTGCCTTTAATTGCCTCCTGAGATCCTCTGTCACAGGGTCATCCTCAGTCTCTCTCCTCAGCTGTCTCGCTCTGCTCTCTCAGAGGGCTTAGAACAAGCATCACGCCCCACTCTCCCGGGCTGCAAACCCTCGCATCTCCCGGAAGTCTTTGACCCTCTGTTCATTCCGGGGTCAAGCCACTTGCCAACCCCTCGAGGGGGAGCTTTCTTGGTGCCTGGGACGGGGGCCTTTGCTTTCTGCAACCCCGCCCCCAGTGCTGCCCAAGTCACCACCCCCACCCTTGCTCCCTCCCAACTCCCCTGCACCCCCTGCTCGGCCAGCCCTCCCGTGGTGCGGGCACTCAGAGTCGCTCTGCCCCAGGACGGGTCACCATGTGGAATTGCAGTGACCCCGGGCCAGGCTCGTGTGGGCTCCCTGGTATAGACATGAGGTTCCGGGGGCTGCGGCATCCAGGGCATTGTCTGCCCTCCGCCTCCTGCCACCCGTTGGCAAGTGATGCCACAACCGGGAGCTGTAGGCTGATGTGATGGTGAAGAGGATAAGATGGTTGCAGGACCCATGCTCGAAGGAGGCTATTCTGTGCGTTGCCTCGCGAGAAATGCCACAGTAGGTGAGATTTGAAAACCCACATGTGGCCTGTGTTCACATTCTAGTTGTGTCCAGGAGCTTGTTTCTTTCCCGAGCGTCTGGACCACTCCAAGCTGCCCAGACAGACTTCCCCTTTGAGTCCCCCTGGGGTCTCTGGAATGTCAGAGTCTTAAAGACATTATTCTCTAGCAGGTGGCATTTTGGAATGTCCTAGATGCAGCAAATTTTTTTATTTTTAATTTTTATTAGTGGAACACCATGAGGTGCAGTTGTAGACTTACAAATTTTTGAGCTTGGGTTTCGATCATACAACAATCAAGTACCCATCCCTCCACCAGTGCCCATTTTCCACCACCAGGGGTCCCGGTATCCTTCCCACCCCCCATCCCCCCATCCCACCCTGCCTCTGTGGCAGGGCATTCCCTTTTGTTCTCTCTCTCCTTTTGAGTGCTGTGGTTTGCAAAAGAGGCATTGACTGGCAGTCATGTTCAGTCCAGAGTCTACTCTCAGCACGATTCTCCCATCCTGGGAGGATCCTCCCAACACCCTTTACTTGGTGCTCCCTTCTCTATTTGAGCTTTCTTCCCCCCGCCCCCCCCCAGCATGATGCTTTAAATTTTGTTATTAAGATCATGTATAAAGACCATCAGGCAGTTCTAATTTTTTTTATGACATTTTATGATGTTTACTGTTTATAATGTTTTTGTTTGATTTTGGTTTTGGGGCCAGAGCCAAAGGTGCTCAGGGCTTACTCTTAACTCTGTGCTCAGGATCACTTCTGACAAGGTCTGGGGCACCATATCTGGTACCAGAAACCAGACCTGGGTACGGTCACTTGCAGGACAGATGTCCTACCCATGTACTACCCCTCCAGACCCTGCTTCTAATAATTTAATTGCCAAGCGCAAGGAAAACGCAAATGGCTCATAAACTTGTCGTGTAAATCATCTTTCTGGATTTTTTCACTCCCCCACGGAACTCCCAGAGTTGACTTCATTTATTTTAGCCCGTTGAAAGAATGGAGATACAGTATAGATCCTGTAAGATGCACGCCTCTCAAAATGTATAATCCACCAGTTCTTTCAGTGTCGTTACAAAGTTGTATTGGACTAGAGAGATAGCACAGCGGGTAGGGTGTGTGCCTGGCGTGCAGCCAACCCTGGTTTCACCCCCAGCATCTTGTACGGTCTCCCGGGCACACAGGAAGTGATCCCTGAGCCAGGAGTAACACCCTGAGCACTGCCAGGTGCCTGCCCTCCACCCCACCCTCCCCCAAAAAAGAGCTGTGCAGTGCCACAACCAATTCCAGGACATTTTTATATTTTCACTACCCCTCAGTAACCCTGGACCTAGTACTAGTCACAGTCTGTTCCTGCCCTAAATCTCATGCAGCAGTGCTCAGGGAGTACTCCTGGCTCCGTGCTGAGGGATCTCTCCGGGCATGTGTTGGGGGAAACATCTGTGCAGCCAGGGATAGAACTGGGTATGTGTATGTCTATGGCGAGCTCCTTGAGCCCTGTGCTGTCTCTCTGGTCCCTTTCTTCTCTCACTCGGCATCACGTCTTCCAAGATGCTCTAGTTTTGTAACCCGTGCCCTCCAACCTCTGTCCTTTTCTGACTAATAAGTTCATCATCTCGATAGACCATTATGGTTCATGGTTGACCCTTTCACCACTTGATGGACACTGGGTTCATCTCCTTTTCTTTCTTTCTTTCTTTCTTTCTTTCTTTCTTTCTTTCTTCCTCTCTTTTTTTAAGCTATTATGACTAATGGGCTGGAGCAATAGCACAGCAGGTAGGGCGTTTGCTGTGTTCGAACCCAGCCGACCTGAGTTTGATTCCTCCGCCCCTCTTGGATAGCCCGGCAAGCTACTGAGAGTATTTTGCCTGCACAGCAAAGCCTGGCAAGCTCCCCGTGACATATTCGCTATGCCAAACACAGTAACAACAGTCTCACAGTGGAGACGTTACTGGGCCCCGCTCGAGCAAATCGATGAACAGTGGGAGGACAGTGCTACAGTGCAGTGCTCTTATGACTAACACTGCTATGGGTGTTCGTGTATGAACTTTTGTCTGAACTTGGATGTTTTCCATCCTCCTGAAGATATACACAGAGTGGAATGTCTGCCTCACATGGTCCCTCTGGCTGACTTTTTTGAGGAGCTTCCCTGCTTCCCATTTCCTCCCCCAGTGTGTGAGGGTTGGAGTTTCAGATTGGGAGAAATGCCATATTTGTTTCTCCCCCCCCCCCCCCTTCCCGTTTTGTTTGTTTCAGAACTCTGGCTATCCTAGTGGTTAGGAAGAGTATATCTCTCATCATAGTTTTCATGGCATTTCTCTAGAGAATGAATAGTAACGCTGTGTATTATTATTACCATGGGTGTATTGGCTATTGATAGGGCCTCTTTGAGGAAATGTCTGTCAAATAGTTTGAACTTTTTTTTTTCTTGTACCACACCTGGGCTGGAGCTATAGCACAGTGGGTAGGGCCTTTGCCTTGTAAGTGTCCAACATGCTGACCAGAGTTGGATTCCTCCGCCCCTCTCAGAGAGCCTGGCAAGCTACCGAGAGTATCTCGCCCGCACGGCAGAGCCTGGCAAGCTCCCTGTGACGTATTCGATATGCCAAACACAGTAACAACAAGTCTCATGATGGAGACATTACTGGACCCGCTCGAGCAAATTGATGAATGACGGGAGGACAGTGACAGTGACCACACCTGGCAGTATTGGATTTTTCATTCCCCTGTGGAACTCTCAGAGTTGACTTAATTTATTTTAGCCATACAAGATGCTGGGGGGTGGAACCAGGGTTGGCTGCATGCATTCCTCTTTGAAGAAATGTCTGTCAAATAATTTGACCCCTTTTTTTTTTCTTATACCACACCTGGCAGTACTTGGAGCTTACTCCTGGCTCTGTGCTCAGGAACCACACCTGGTGGACTTTGGGGGACCATCCGGGGTGCTTGGGGTCAAACCTGGGTTGCCTGTAATGCTCCCTACCCGCAGTACTATCTCTCCAGACCCTCCATTGTCCGTTTTTAATCTGGGTTGTGTTTTTACTGTTGAGAAATGGTTGAATGGGATTCACAGGCTCACGGACTGTCTTTCCGTGAGTTGCTTTAGCCGGAGGAAAGGTCGCTGGCAGGACACAGCAGGAGTGTGGGGCGACCTGGGCTGAGCTCTGCCCTCTGCTGGACAGCGCGGGAATTTCTCCCACTCGGTATGCAGGAAGTCGCCTGTTTCTTTTTTCATAAACAACACTCCCACCCCCATAGGAACAACAACAGAAATTACCACTTTTCCCACTCCCAAATAAAAGCAGAGCCAGACTCCTGCCTCCTTCCCTCCCCTGGCCCCACGGAGTCCCACGTTCCTGCAGGGCTGGGCGTTCCAGCCGGGGCCTGACTGTTATTTTTTTAATCTTTGGTTCTTCTCCCTACTAATTCCCTGGGACACCCCGGCTACTGTATTGATGGCTCCTGTTGGCCGCTGCCCAGTGCTGGTCACTTTTTCTCTGAAATGGAGCTAAATCAGAAGATTGCCGCCAAAGGCCGGAGCCTGCGGTGGCTGGGGCGGGACCGGACTCCCCCACCCCCCAACACACACACACACACCACCCAGTGTGGCTGTCCAGTATGCTGCTGTGTAGGCTCAGGGCAGCCCGCTAGTCATTTTCTTTTTTGTTGTTGTTGTTTAAAAAGAACTGTCCTCCCGTTGTTCATCGATTTGCTCAAGTGGGCCCAGTAACATTGTGAGACTTGTTACTGTGTTTGGCATATCGAATACATCACGGGTAGCTTGCCAGGCTTTGCCGTGCAGGCAAGATACTCTCAGTAGCTTGCCGGGCTCTCCGAGAGAGGCGGAGGAATCGAACCCGGCTCGACCACAATGTTACTGGGCCCGCTCGAGCAAATCGATGGACAATGGGTGGTCAGTGACAGTTAAAAAAGAAAAAGAAAAACAAACTCATCTTCAGTAGTTATTGCTGGGGAAACCTCAGTGGGCGCCTTCCAGGGTGGGTAGACCCTGTTGGAGGGGCATTTTGGGGGTCTCTGGGGTCACACTTGCACATTTGTACCAGCCAGGGGGTGGTGATAGAGTGTCCCCATTTCCTCGCTCCTGCAGCTGATGGTAGAGTGAACAACCCTGGCCACTGACCCCCTCCTCAGTAACCCTGGACCTAGTACTAGTCACAGTCTGTTCCTGCTCTAAGTCTCATCCAGCACAGTGCTCAAGGATTATTCCTGGCTCTGAGTCTCTGTTTTTTCTCCTGTCCCGGTGCTGTTCATCCGTTGGACACCCTATGTCCATGGGGGCTTCTCTATTCCCCTATTCCCCTGCTGGTCACTCCCTTCTCTGGCAGTTCAGTATCATCTTCCACTGTCGTGTGTGTGTGTGTGTGTGTGTGTGTGTGAGAGAGAGAGAGAGAGAGAGAGAGAGAGAGAGAGAGAGAGACAGAGACAGAGACAGAGACAGAGACAGATAGATAGATAGATAGATAGAGAGAGAGAGAGAGAGAGACCCAGGTTCTGTGGCAGCCACTTGTCCCAGACCCCTTATCAGCTCCCTCCCCCCCCCCCACCCAATTGTGCTCCAGCTGCCTCTTCCTCACCCTGGCACAGACGCTGTCCTCTGGAACACCCCTCGCGGTGACACCACCCAATATTGCCATATTTGCCTGCCCGCTGTGCCCCCACCTGGCAGCAGACCCTCTCTCTTGGGCTGCCCGGATGCGTCCTCCCAACTCACCTGCTGGACTTCCGCCCCATGTGCTGCCCAGATCGGAGCCTCTGTCCCCTTGGGGACTCCCAGGCCCGGTCATTTCTGGCTGCCTGAGGTTCCAGCAGCCTGTTGCTCATCACTGTCCCCACCTGCCTGGACCTGTCTGTTCCGAATCACGGCAGCCCATAGCTGTGGTCCTCAGCTGCGCTCCCGCGGCGGGTGTAGGCAGGCACCTGTGTGCACAGAGGCGTGTAGCACGTGTTCTCTGTGGTCTGCATGCACGGATACCTCCTCAGAGCGTGCATATGCATGTGAGCACGCATATACGTGCACGTGTGCATCTGTGCATGTGTACACACGTGTGTGCACGTGTGCGTATGTGGCGTGCATATGTGTGTGCGGCTGAGGCCCACCCGGCTTCCTCCCACCACCACGCCCTTCATATACAGCACTGCCCCAGAGCCCCGCTGCGGTGGGGCCGGGGAGGTGGAGACTTCAGGGGAACCAGCTCAGGCTGGTGGAACCCTCTCAGCTGTGCCCCCGGGCACCCGCACCCGGGCCGCAGCTCCGAGCCGCCTGCTCTCTCCTCTCCAGCCCGCGGCGGTACTTCCTCCTGTCCTCGCAGATGGGCCTCCACGCTGAGTACCGGGACGAGCTGGAGGCACTGCAGGCCCGGCACGGGGACTCGGTGCTGGTGCTGGACAAGTGCACCAACCTCTCGGAGGGCACCCTATCGGTGCGCAAGCGCTGCCACAAGCACCAGGTCTTCGAGTACCCGCAGGTGCTGCAGGTGAGTGCGGGGCTCTCGGCCTCCTCCTCAGAGCCTACCCCCACCCCCCAGCCCACCTTCAGATTCCTGGAGAGGAGAGAAGCAGGCGACCCCGGCGGACATGCAGCCCCTCAGAGGCTTAGCTGTCCGGGTTTGTCAGGTTTCTGTGCAGGGGCCTGCTTGCCCGCTTGCCTGAAAGGTGGGCCTGAAAGGTGTGTGACTCCCCTGGCTTTACCCAGGGGCCCCCGGAGACAAAGCAGGTGAATGGATTTTGCTTTTATTTATTTATTTATTTTTTGATTTTTGGGTCACACCTGGAGATGCACAGGGGTTACTCCTGGCTCTGCACTGAGGAGTTACTCCTGGCGGTGCTCAGGGGACCATATGGGATTCTGGGAATCGAACCCGGGTCGGCCGCGTGCAAGGCTAATGCCCTACCCGCTGTGCTATCTCTCCAGCTCCTGTATTTTGCTTTTAAACCCACAAAGCCAGACCAAAGACAGTTTCTTCTTCTTCTTCTTCTTCTTCTTCTTCTTCTTCTTCTTCTTCTTCTTCTTCTTCTTCTTCTTCTTCTTTTTTGCCACAGTGCTCAGGGATCACTTCTGGTAGTGCTCAGAGGACCCTGTAAGGTGCCAGGCATTGAATCCCAGTCGGCCTTGTACAAGGCAAGCACTTGGTACACTATCCCGTCTCTCTGTCCCACCCCATTATTTCTTTGAGGCATCACAGCTGTCTTCTCTGATGGTCCAGTCTACAAGGTACCTCAGTTTATCCCAGATCCTGGAGGGTTTTGTCTTTCCTTGCTCTGGTCTCCCTACTCTGTCAGGGCTGGAAGGAATCTGGGAGCCAGAGTGCTTCCATAACCCAAGGCACAACCATTCTTGAAGGCGGAGGTGGGGGGGGGTGGGGGGGGAGGGTTTTAAGACATTTCTTTGACTTTCCCCGGGTGAGGGGACTAGGAAAGATGAAACTGAGTTGGCTTGCTTCCACATTCCCAGTCCACGTTGGTTAGTTCAAGGAGAAGCATCGAGGAGGGAATCTGTGTGAACTGTTTTTTTTTTTTTTTTTTTTTTTGGCTACACTCAGTGGCGCTCAAGACTTCCTCCTGGCTCTGCACTCAGAGATTACTCCTGGTAGGCTCGGTGGACCACATAGGGTGCCGGGGATCGAACCTGAGTTGGCTGCATGCAAGGCAAGGGCCCTGTCAGTTGTACTGTCTCTCTGGCCCGAGTCTTTTTCTTAATCTCCAAAGAGATCTGACTCATGCCAGATTGCTAAAATCTTTTTTTTTTTAATTGAATCACCGTGAGATACAGTTACAAAGCTTTCCTGTTTGAATTTCAGTCTACAATGATTGAACACCCATCCCCCCACCCCAGTGCACATCTTCCACCACCAGTGTCCCCAGTATCCTCCCCAATCCCACCCCTGCCTCTATGGCAGACATACTCTCTTTTTGTATTACTTGTTATGAATAGCATTAAGATGTTGTTTGCCCGCGAGAGTGGCTACGTTGGAATTCTAAAATTTTAGATAATTCGGGTATGAAGAAATCTCTGCGGTAAGCTGCTCAGTTTTGAGATTCTTTAGTGTGTCTTTGGATCACGGCTGTTAAGGAGCTTTAAATGGCAGCTGGAGGTGGTTCATGAGCATGACCTCCAGGGTTCCATATGGATGAGGAGATGAGAAGGACCGCCCCATCCCCTATCTCATGAGGCCTGGAGTTTGACGTCACTGAACCTGTGTACCTGCACTTCTCATTGGGTTCTGAAAGTTGGCGGTTACCAGAATCCTTAGGGGGCAGGTGGATGGACGATGCCTGCTCCCATCTGAGGCACCCCAGTGAAGTCGCCCTGGCTTAAAGTCCAGAGACATCTCTGCAGTGAGCTGCTCATTTCGGAAATTCTTTTGTGTGTCCTAAATATCTTTTCTCTCAAACAGTGCCCCATCTCCCCGAGGAATGTCTGACTGATAACAGGGTGCTGTGAGCAGGAATATTTATAGTAACCTGTGTCTAGATAGGAAGAGCAGTTATCAGCATGTGTGGCCTCGCCACCCGTCCACCTGCCGCTCCGGGCGCCATGCCGGCCGCCGCCTCTCCTCAGCTGCCTTCCCATCAGCCCCCAGACCTGTCTGGCACGTGGGGTTTCTTCATACAGCTGAACTCTCCTTTTCTCCAGATTTGATGAATAATGCTTTCAAAATCTTTTGTTTTATTTATTTATTTTTTCTTGTCGAGGCAAAATCTGGGCAAAACCCAGTGTTGGAGTCGAGTCTTTTTGTTTTGTTTTGTTTCTGGGCCACATCTGGTGATGCTCAGGGCTTACTCCTGGCTCTGAGCTCGGGATCAGTCCTGGTAGTCTCGGAGGACCCTATGGGGTGCTGGAGATTGAAACCACATTGTCCGCATGCAAGGCAGATGCCCTACCTGCCGTACTCTTGCTTCAGCCTCGAGCTGGGTCTTTTCATATGCTGACTTATATCTATCACAGGATTCCCGCCACCCCTTTCCCCCACCAGTCCTTTCTGTATGCTCCGCCTTGAGTGGGGCTGAATGAGCGAAGGGGTAGAGAAATGTCTTGAGGTTTTTGCATTTTGTCCAGTGGACTGTTTGTAAACAGAAGGGTATCTGCTAAATGCCATGGGGAAGATTTTACTTTGCTCTTTCTTGAGAGGGCGTAGAGGGAGTTGAGGACAACCCCAGCTTCCTTCCTCCTGGCTCTGAGCTCAGGGACCATTCCTATCGGGGCTTTGGGGGTACCGGGGATGCCAGGGATGGAACCTGGGTCGGCTGCACGCAAGGCAGACCCTTCCCCTCCCTTGCTGTCTCTCCGGCCCAGTTGCCCTTCCTATAGAGGGTGACTAGCAAGCCCCATGTGTCCAGACAAGGTCATTCTCTTCCCAGGTAGGCCGAGGCCTGTTCCCCAGGCCACCGCGGGGGCTGTGGTTTGTGTAGACACTGGGGCTAAGGGAAGCCCATTGGTGGGTCCTCACACCGTTGAGTGTCCAGCGGACTGGACGCTGGTTTTCAACATTTCCATAGTGCCCGTCTTGAAGTACCCACCCGGGGGTTGGAATCCAGAGGTGAAGCTTGGCCATCTTAAGCTCTGTGGTCTCCCGTGTTTGATGGGTGTACGTGCCCCCTTGTGGCCTCCTGTGTTTGATGGGTGTGTGCACCCCCTCAGGGCCCCCCGCAGGCCTGTGAGCCCTCTCTCAGTCTCCTGCGTTTGACAGGTACTCACTCCCTCTACGGGCCTTCTGCATTTGTTTGAGGAGCGTGCGCACCCTCTCTGGGCGAAGTTTGACGGGCTCACGCCATCGTCTCTCAGCCTCTTACATTTGACAGGCATGAGACGTTGTCTTTCAGCTCCCTGTGTTTGATAGGCTTGTGCCCTCTCTCAGCCCCCCAAGGTGTTTTTTTTTTATTATCTTGGAAAACACATATTTGTTTTATTCAGTTAATGTCTATCTGTCTCTCTTCTGTGCTTTCCTCTTGTTCCTACTGATAAAATACACATTTTATTGTTCTTAATATATATATATTTTTTTTTTAATTTTTGGACTCCAGAGATTTAAAACCCAGCTCCCGGAAGCTTATCTTATTATCTAGTTCTTACTCTGGAGAACCCGGCAGGCTACCGAAGGCATCCTGCCCGCATGGCAGAATCTGGCAAACTCCCCATGGCATACTCAATATGCCAAATACCAGTAACAATGATGGGTCTCGTTCTCCTGACCCTGAAAGAGCCTTGAATATGGCACTTTCTAAGATCTCAAGGGCTAGGACGAAGGAGACGTTACTGGTGCCTGTTTGAGGAAATCAGTGAACAACAGGATGAACGTGACCGTGATCGTTTAAATTTTTATTAGTGAAACACCTTGAGTTTGTGCTTGGGTTTCAATTATACAGCGATCGAGTACCCATCCCTCCACCAGTGCCCATTTCCCACCACCACGGATCCCAGTATCCCTCCCACCCCCCATCCCCCCCATCCCACCCTGCCTCTGTGGCAGGGCATTCCCTTTTGTTCTCTCTCTCCTTTTGGGTTCATGCCCCCAAGTTTGACGAGCGTGTGATCTCTCTCACTCCCCCGCGTTGGACGGGCGCGCATACCCTCTCCAGGCTTGGGCGTCCGGCAGTCCCGGGAGGGAATCGTGGCCTGCGGGCACGTTGGTGACCCTGCCACCATCTGCTTATGTCCCCTGCAGGAGGCCACTTTCTGCGTGGTGCTTCGAGGTGCGCGGCTGGGCCAGGCGGCACTGAGTGACGTGCTGCGGGCCGGCTGTGTCCCAGTCATCATGGCCGACTCCTACGTGCTGCCTTTCTCCGAGGTCCTTGACTGGAAGAGGTGGGTATCACCTTCCCACACGCTCCACACCTCTGTGGACCTTCACAGCCACGTGTAGGTCAGACGGAGAACCATCTACGTGTGTTGGCCTGCGCTGTTTCCCAGCGGGAGGGTTTGTGGGTGCAGAGCCATGGTGGGGAGACCCCGGTGCTGGGATGCGAAGGGGGTGCTGGAGGTCAGATAGGGCAGGGCCTCAGGAATGACCTTTTGTTGGAGCACCCACACCCGTTCCTCTGTGCGTCATCCTCAGCCGTCTCTGCACACACAGCCCGGCAGTGCGGCGTCGTCAGTTGCTATACGGAGATTCTGCAGCCTGCTGAGGCCAACCCACTTGCCCTTGACCTAAAATAGTGGCTCTTGGGGCTGGAGCAATAGCACAGCGGGTAAGGCGTTTGCCTCGCACACGGCCGACCCGGGTTCGATTCCCAGCATCCCATATGGTCCCCCGAGCACCACCAGGAGTGATTCCTGAGTGCAAAGCCAGGAGTAATCAATCCCTGAGCATCGCCTGCTGTGACCCCAAACGGAAAACAAACAAGCAAACAACAACAACAACAACAAAAACAGTGGCTCTCGACTCATGGGAAGAGTTTTTTTTCTCCCGCACTTGATCCTCCGGGAAGGCTGGCTTTGGCCTCCCTGGCCATGGTGGTTTGCAGCCATAGTCGAGAAGCACAGCTCTGCCACCTGTAAGGTTTGCATCAGGCACTGGGTAGAGGTAGAGGAGCCTCTACTGGGATGCAGGGGCCCCGGAGCCTTCTGGAGAACAGAGGGACCAGAGGGGCGGTGAGGTGCGGTGGGTTAGGGCAGTCAGGCCTGTAGCACCCACTCTGGTACCGGCCATTCCACTCCTCCAGCATGTCAGAGGTTAACGGTGGGTGATTGGAGGTCGAGGGTGATTGGAAGTTGTTCCTTTTTGTGGAGGCTGTTCAGGCTCGTTCTTGGCTTTTGCGACAAGCGTCTGAGTGGTTGGCCAGGTGGGTGCTGACTTTCTCAGTCTTACAGTGACTCCCCGTAGATCATGTGATCTCACGGAGACACGGGCCAGGAGTCACTACTGTGGGCAAGTGTTCTCAGCTCTTTCCGCCTGTGACCCTTCCTGCCCTGGAAACACTGCACCAGGAGACTGCCATGGCAGACCTTAGACTCATCACAAGGCTGACTTGGGGGTCATTTCTGGGCACTGGTGCATTCAGAAACCTTTCCCCATGGCCAATTTTAATGTTTTTGCGAACCCCTCTGTCCCCCACGCACACACCCACATCCCATCCCAGGTCACCATGCGGCTGGAGAATGGGACTGCAGGGGGCACCATAAAGGCCCAGCACAGAGCGGGGGTCTCCGCCCTCCCGGAATGAGGAGGGTCCGTCCTGTCTGTACCCCGGTGAGGAGTGAGGAGCCACTTGGGCCATCTGATGGGTCCGGCACATGGGTCCTCAAGGCCTTTAGTGGCCAGGCCTGGTGCTTGGATGCTGGGCGGCGGGGAGTCAGGTCTGGCTCGCAGTAGGAGGGAGACGGGTGCCCTTGGTTTACGGGGTGCTGTGTGTGGCAACCCAGCGAGCGCTGCAGGGCAGGGGCCGGGCTGAGTCTTGAGAGGGGGATGCATGAGAACCTGGTTCCGCTTGGGAACATGTGGGTGAGCCAGCAGCAGAAGTCCCTGGAGTGGGGTTGAACCCGGAAGGCCACCTAGCCTCACTCGAGCCTCTAGGTCACTTCCTTCACAGGAATTTGCAGGTGCCAGCCCTGTCCTGGGGGGGGCCCACCCCGATTGGGGGGGTTGTGCCGTGTCTCAGTCAGTGAACTCAGACTCAGCCCTGTCCCCAGAGGGCCAGTCAGCCTTGAGTCCTGGCAGATCTGATGGGTACGTCCATCCCCCCAGGCTTGCCCTCCAACCCATCCAGCTGGCCCGGATGTGCTGATGGTCTCCCGGGGCTGACCCTGCATCTGCTGGGCTGTGTCCTGCCGGCACCCACTCGTAGCGCATGCTCTACCTCGCCCAGCAACTTGTGCCTTTCCCTGAGCTGAAGCCCAGCGCCTTCCCCGGCTGAGGGCCGTGACCCTCTGCTCAACCCGCTGCTGCTCAGTCCTCTGCTCGCATCCTTTCCTGGGGCCTCGATGGAGTCACTGGGTTCTGGCCACATGGGCCCCTGGAGGGATGATGGGGGAGCTTCTTCAGGGCCCTCTGCTTACTTGTCCTTAAAGTCCGCCATCGCCTCCTTCTTCCTCTTCCTCTGTCCCTCTGTCCCTCCCCCCCTCTTTTATTGTTTTTGGGTCATACCCAGCGATGCTCAGGGGTTACTCCTGACTCTGTACTCAGGAATCACACCTGGCGGTGCTTGGGGGACCATATGGGATGCTGGGGATCGAACCCGGGTCGGCTGCACGCAAGGCAAAGGCCCTCCCTGCTGTACTATTGCTCTGCCCCCCCCCCTTTCTTTCTCTCTCTCTCTGAGGGTGTCTTTGTAGAGAGCTGAATAATGTTTTTTTGTGTATGTGTGTGTGTGTGTGTTTTTCGGCTGGGGGGGAGGGGGGAGTCACACCCAGCGATGCCCAGCTAGGGTTACTCCTGGCTCCTGCACTCAGGAATCACTCCTGACAGTGCTCAAGGGACCATATGGGATGCCGGGAGTCGAACCCAGGTTGGCAGCGTGCAGGGCAAACGCCCTACCCACTGCACTATCGCTCCGGCCCCAGAGAGCTGAAGGATGGGGGTCAGGCCTAGTGCTGAGCACAGCTCCCAGCCAGCCAGGACAGTGAGTGCCCCCTGCTGGGGTGTGGAGGAATGAAAGAAGGAAGAGGGGGCTGGCGGCCTAGGCAGCCCTGGGGCAGGGAGAGGGGCCGTGATGGGGCCGGAGGGTCACAGCCTGTTGGACCCGGTTTTGGTGTGGGGGAAAGACAGAAGTAATGTGTGAGGGGGCATCTGGGTGGGGGTGGGGGCGGGGGGAATGATACCTGAGGGGGCACCCGGGTGGGGGTGGGGTTAGGGTGGGGGACGTGTTCCCCGAGGGATGCCCTCACATCGCGTCTCTGCTCCTGTGTAGGGCATCGGTGGTGGTACCCGAGGAGAAGATGCCGGAGGTGTACACCATCCTGCAGAGCATCCCCCAGAGGCAGATTGAGGAGATGCAGAGACAGGTGAGACTGTGGAGTGGGTGCTGGGTGTGGTCATATGTGTGGGTGTCGTCTCCTCCTCTTGGCGCTTACCAGCCAGGCTTCAGCCAGAGCCGTGGCAGGGGGCGGCCCCCCTTCCCCTGTGAGGTCCGAGCTGGGGCAGCACCTGGTCCCACTCCCCACCCCCCCATCCCCACCTCAGGGTGCCTGTGGCCCTGCCCACCCATCAGTATTCTGCTGCCTTGGGGCCTGTGGACTTCATCTTCCCACTCCCCTACTCCCGGACCTCGTTGGCTTACCTGGGTCTTTCTGCACCCACCGAGGAATGGTCTGAGCCCTTCTAGTCAGCCCTAGCTGTTGTGCTGTCCCCCTTGTTTCCTGTGCTCCTCTCCCAGTGATTTGAAATTAGCAATTAAAAAAAAATTAAAAAAAAAGTTCTCCTTGATGGGGCTGGAGTGATAGCACAGCGGGTAGGCCATGTTCTGCACATGGCAGACCTGGGTTCAATTCCCAGCATCCCCTATGGTCCCCTGAGCTCCATCAGTGAGCACCACCAGGAGTAATTCCTAAGTGCAGACCCAGGGGTAACCCCAGAGCATCACCCAGTGTGCCCACCCCCAAAGCAAGGAAACAGAACAAAATTCTCCTTGATTTCCAGGGCGTTAGGGGAGAGTAAATGAAGGCGCCTGACAGGGGCAGCCTCTGTCTCATGGTTCTGTGCTTCTCAGACCCGAGGGGCAGCCTCCTGGCACAGTGAAGTCTGCAGGCATTTTGTTTGATTTGGGGGCCCACTCCTGGCGCTTGGCTCTGCATGCAGGGACCACTCCTGGCAGGGCCTGTGGGGTGCTGGGGATGGAACAAGGGTCGGCTGCGTGTGAGGCCAGCGCCCTCCCCACTGTGCCATCTCAGCTCAAGGCCTTCCCTTACATTGTCAGGGCGGAGCACTGGCTCGGCTGGTCAGCGTCATCATGCCTGTGGCAGAGGGGTGACCTTCTCCAGACCCTAGGAACCCCGTGGTTCCTTGAGAGCGAAATTCGTGCTGGTCTCGAGTCCCTGGACCTATTGGTGGCTGCCTGCCTGCCTGTGGAGTCTGTGTGGGTTTTAGCGGACGAGGGGGCCAAAGAGAGGAGAGCATCCCCCCCAACCCCCCTAGTGATGGTTCTAACTAAAACTATGGGTCCTCACCACATGGTGCTCCCAGGAGATGCCTGCAGGGGTTGTTCCTGGTGCTGCCTCAGAGGTGCCCTCCCTGATTGCACGGAGAATCATTTGCTACCCCAGAGGTCAGCTGTCACTCGGGAGTGGAGACATGACCCGGGGGGTAGGCAGGAGCCCTCCTTTTGTCCAGTTCCCTATGCCGCCTGGCCCCTTCACGGTGGCTTCCTCCGAGGGGAGCCTGCCTATGCCAGCTGGCAGCGGGCACTGTCCCGTGGTTCTAGGGAGCCAGGCTGGGACCCAGCGTGGTCCAGCCGTGTCCACTACAGGCTCAGGGCCACCCAGCGACAGGGAGTGAGTCTCAAAGTGATACAAGGTGGCAGAACGGGCGCATGGCAGTGACGTGTGATCAATCCCGGAGGACCCTGTACTGGAGGAGCTGGTTCCGGTACCCTTGGACCCACGCATGAACCGCTAGCCTGGCTGGTCGAGAACCTCCGGGAGCCATGGAGTCTCCTGAGGGACCCCTACTCCTCACCCCTACCACTGACCAAAACAACCATCACCAAAAAGTATATAGCAAAGCGCTTTTAGGCTACTCGGGTTCAGAGAAACGTGTGGAATCTAAAGGCTTGGCTTATTAAACTGGGCCGAGATCTTTCCAGAGGAACCCCATGAAGACAAGTTGTGATGCAACAAGCAAAGGGTCTTTACTGGCTAGCTCGAGCTAGGGCCCTGTGCGACATAGCAGCAGCTTCCTCTTCGTGAGCAGCTCTTTGCCATGGGTGTGCAGGGTTTTTATCTTCCAGCATCACATAACTGGGGTTTGTCTTTGGCGACGGTCTAGGGAGCTTTCTAGCTACTTAGATTGGTAACTTCTGATTGCCTAGAGGCAGGCTGAGCTGGTTGCCGGTGACTTTCCGGGTTGTTTCCATTTGGTTGTCCTGGCCAGCCACATCCCTTCGGGAAACCAGAACTCAGGGAAACCGTAACTTAAGTCTAGGAGACCGAAACTTAGGTCTGGCTCCTTATTGAGCCTGTCATGGTGCTGCCTTAACCCCTTTGTGTTTCAGGCTCTGAGCCCGACTCCGGCTCGGACCCTGGTCATGGTACACAGCATAAGCCTCGATCGCTGCCTGGGCTCCCCTTCTCTCGTTCTTGAAATGTGGCTTCTGCCAGCTCATCTCTTCTCGCCATGGGGCACGCACCAGCTACTGCTGGCCTTAGACCATAGCCCTCCTTTGAGCCAGAACTCATGGGGCAGCAGTCGGGGTGGGGCTCCCTTCTCCCGCAGGGCCTCACACTCTCCTCCCCGCAGGTAGTGCCGACCTGCTCTAGGTCAGCCTGCAGGAGAGACTGACTGGGTGTGGGTGCCTCTCAGGGATGCCCTCAGCGCCGCTTTCTGCCCTTCTCAAGGCCCCATAGTATCCCTATCTGCATATGCACGCACACACACACACATACACACACACACACATGCATACATACAAACACACACATATTACACATATGCACATGTATACATGCTCACACAGACTGTCACTGTCACTGTCCTTCTGTTGTTCATCGATTTGCTTGAGCAGGCCCAGTAACATCTCCATTGTGACAGTTGTTACTGTGTTTGGCATATCGAATATGTCACGGGTAGCTTGCCAGGCTTTACCGTGTGGGCGAGATACTCTCGGTAGCTTGCCGGGCTTTCCAAGAGTGGCGGAGGAATCGAACTCGGGTTGGCCATGTTGGCCGCTTGCAAGGTGGATGTCCTACCCGCTGTGCTATTGCTCCAGCACAGACATATATACATATATGCACACATTCTTCATATTTGTATACATACATGTATACATACATACACTCACATGCACATATACACATGAGTTCATGCAAACATACATACACATATATATATCCATACACACACACACACACACACACAGACACGCACCTTGCTGACTGGATAAGTCTGATGTAGATTACTGGGTGAAGTGACTCCTAGGGGACCATGATATGGTCCCCCTGGGGCCATGTGGCTTTGAGTGTCCCCACGCGTGTGCAGGTTACCCCCGCCTTACCTCTCCCAGGGAACAGGCTTTGCCCATGTTGTGCCCAGCCCTGGCCAGGAAGGGCTCCCATCTCTGGCCCCGAAACCTGGCCTTGCAGGAGAAGCTGCAGGAAGCATCCCCTCCTCCCGCCTCCGGGCAGCCTCTCCTCAGCCGGTGCTCTCTCGAGGGAGGCCGGGCTGGGGCCTTCTGTCATCCATCAGCCTCCAAGGGGAGAGAGCTTGTGCCTCCCAGTTCCTACCTTAGAGCTGAATTCCCCGAGTGGGTGGTACTGCCTGCCCGTGGGTGACCTCGGGCGCGGACGTGCGTGTTCTCTGACTGTTCACTTAAAGAAGGTGGATTCCGGGGTGGGGGTGTGGTGGGGTGGTGGTGCAGAGGGTACTGAATGATTCTCTTTCCTGAGACGGGGGCGGAGGGCGGTCGGCCAGATCCATTGGGGGTCTCTGAGTCAGAATGCACTGCCTGGCGAGCAGAGGGATTGGGGATTTCGTGCACCTGGGAAAGCTCCTTGGAGCTGCGCGGGCCCCTTAGTGCCAGCAGAGGGCTCCATCGACTTTCCGGTGACGGGTGGGTGACTGTGTCCTAGCACTGACTCCTTGGAGCCCGGCTGCTGGGAGCTGCTGGAGCCTCTCTGCAGAGCTCCAACGCAGAGCCAGCATTTGGGAGCTGACCCAGAGACGTGGGGGCAGCAGCTCGGGGTGGGGCGCGGTGGTTTTTGCTGCTTGGCGTGGAGGCTCCGATGGCTCCAGTGGTGATGTCCTGAGAGTGACTTGGGGACAAGGACAGAATCCCGTGGAGAAAGATGCTTACCTCTGCCCAGGGAAAGTGGCTTCCGGGCTCCTCCTGGCCTGGCGTGTGACCGTGAGCCGCCCCTCCTGTGTGTCCCGGGCTGGGGCCTTGAAGTGACCACGGTGAGAGTTTTCAAGAATCGTCTGACCCGGGTCTCGTTGTCCGCTCCCAAAGGCCGGCCCCACCCAGGGTGGGCGTGTGGACGCACCCTTTGTGGTTAGTCAGCCCCAGCAGCCAGCACCTTCCCTGAAGGCAGTAGGTGACGCCTCAGCCTGGGTCCTGGTCTGCTCCACAAGCAGAGACGGCTCGTTCACTGAATGGAACTCTGAATCCATGCTGTGGCTTCCATTTCTGGGCCACACTTGCCAGTGCTCAGGGCTTACTCCTAGCTCTGCACTCAGAAACACTCCTGGCAGTCTGGGGTGGGGGAAGCTTATGGGGTGTCAGGGATTGATTGAGCCTGGGTCAGCCGCATGCAAGGCAAACACCCTACCTGCTGTACTGTTATCTCTCTAGCCTCTTCGTGCTTTTTGCACTTCTTTCTTCCTTCCTTCCTTCCTTCCTTCCTTTCTTTCTTTCTTTCTTTCTTTCTTTCTTTCTTTCTTTCATCTCTTTTAAAAAAAAAAAAAAACAAAGGTCCGGGCTGGGAGCCAATATGAAATCTCTTCTCTCCCCCTCCATCCCAAGAACCCTAGAGGGTACCAGTGAGTGCAACCCTAGGGGAGTGTGGCTCTGAGCAGAGTTTTAGGGTTTCCCGGAGTCCACTGGGGGGTCTGAAATGGTAGGGAAAGGGAGGGTTGCGAGGAGACGTTCCCGTGTGTGTGTGTGTGTGTGTCTGTGTGTGTGAGTGTGCGTGGGTGTGTGTGAATGTGTGTTTGAGTGTGCGTATGTGTGAGTGTGTGTATGTGAGTGTGAGTGTGTGTATGTGTGAGTGTGTGAGCATGTGTGAGTGTGACTCACATGTGTGAGTGTGTTTGAGTGTGCGTGAGAGTGTGTGTGTTTGAGTATATGTATGCGTGA